GAGTATGAGACGTACGCCCACCCTCCGCGACGGCTCACGAGAAAGTGAGGAAGCTAACGTCGTTATGTATTCGGCGTACGCAGGTTTGTTCGTGTTGAATTGTTTTTGCCGACTTGAACGACCTTCCTCCTTGAACGACCCAAACACCGGATGGTACCGCCTGGTACGGCGTACACGGCGAGGTCAATAAACTGTGTGACGCACGTCACTAGCTCGTTGGACCGACCTAGAGCACCGATACCGCAGCACGCTCTACCGTACTCTCTCGCTCGCACACCTCCCCCCATAGACCACCGAAATTCTTCGGCACGCGTCAACACCGAAGGAGAGCACCGATACCGCGGCTCGCTCTATCGCTCTCGCTCGCACGCCGTAACGTCACCCGATTCCCGGAATCCCGCGGTAACGAGATGGCTCATTACGGTAAGGCATTCCCACAAGGGAAATTGTAAGCCACCGGCCAAAAGGTAGATTTAATAAATTATTTATGAAACTACATCTATTCTGAATTTATCTGTTACAAATATACAAATGTAAAGCAAGATATAAAAACGAATAAAACAAGAACATGTAAAAAGTAACATTAGTAAAATGTCCATTAACGATGCATTTAGAATAAATTGTCTTGTAGTTAAGTGAAAAAATATATACTTTTCCGTTTCATGTTTCATGACTGTCATATTTATCCCTTAACCTTAAACTGAAGCATCGGATATTTTTATTCTCGTGAAATCATATAGATACACGTAATATGAATGGAATATATAACACTTCATTTGTGCTAATAATACTCAGAATTCATGCTTTATCGGTAACGTCGGGTATTGACACTAAAATGGTAACAGGGCTACGTAGCCCTATGAACGTGGGACAGAAAAAAGCATTGGATGATAGGTCTATTCTATACCTAGTCGGTGCCTATACCTCGTCGGTGATTTAATACGCATTTTGAAACGCCCGCCATTAGTCATATAGTAAGCTTACATCTCGGTAGAGGATACTAATGTCGTATTAACAAAATAATGTATTGAGTGGAACACCGCTGACTTCGTCTGCGGTCCCAATTATCGGTCATAGACATATATGTCTATGTTGATTATGTGTTTTCGCTAGCGTCCGATTGTTTACAACCATCAACGCTTCGATATCGATTCGGAGTTGGCCCCGAAGGAGTCTCCCCCCTGAAGAATAGAAAGAAGTGACATGTTACAGGAATAGTTGGGTAAAAGAATTATATATTTGGAATATGTTTTACATTCGTGCTCCAACAGGACAGGTATTGCTCCATGATTTAGAAAAATGTATTTTTGGTAGGTTAGAATATTTAGAGTTACTGTATCAGGGTAGACCTCACGAATTCAAGGGCAATTGTGAATATTTATTAGAAAATTCAGCATATGATAAAATTGGTCATTTTTCATTGCGGTAAGTGGTTATTCATGTAATTATAGTAATTAGTAATTTCATTTTTCTAGTTCGTAAAAGCTTAGGTGCTCATAGATTATCCAATGAATTGTTTACTGAATATTTATTGATATATTTATTTTAGATTATTAGCCTCTGTGTCACAAGATCTATTTTATTATTGGATAATTAGAGAAACTGTATTATTTCAAAAGAGACTGAATTATATATTGCCTAGACAATTACATAGACTATTAAGAAGTATTATACGTCAACTTAGGTTGCTTACAAATAAAGAAAAATTAATTAATAACACATTAATTGACGTATGTACTTTTTTCTCAAAACAATTTGTTTTTATGCATCTCGCAACAAAAGATCATAAAGAAGAATGCAATTTTTTTCAAACCAAAGGTATGTATGAATATAAATAAATTCAGTTACAGATTTAAATATTTATATATTTTTTATTTTTTCAAGTGAGATATGAATTAGTACCAGACTTAATAAAAAAAAGAAAAGTAGAGTTAAGTAATGGATATGCTATTATATACTGTTCCAAATTAAAAGAAGTCCTGTTAGCATTATTTTGTACTTACATACACAAAGAAGTAACATGTATTAAGTCAAAAGCACAACATACTATAAATCAAGATGTTAGACTGGACTATTTATATCAGAAAATCCATTGTCAAATATTTCAAACAAGCCATGGATATGGACACATAACTGTTGATAATATAGATATGCAAATGAGAAATTTTCCTCTCTGCATGCAACATTTGTATAGAAAATTACGAAATACACATCGACTTAGTCATTATGCTCGTTTACATTATAGCCTATTCCTAAAAGATGGAGGAATGCACATAGAAGATGCTATAAATTATTGGAAGGAAGAATATTCCAAACCTCATTCATGTTCTTCCATCTGTTCACACCAATGGCAAGTAAATGAACGCAAATTTCTATATAGTATTAGACATCTTTATGGTCTAGAAGGATCTAAAAAAAATTATAAATCACCCAACTGTGAATTTATGTGTGTAAGTATTATATTGTTCTGTTATAAATGATCTGTTAGTGTAAATTACTTTTTAAGTAATTTTATTATAGGCAAATGTTTCTAGCCCAATGTATGAAGGAGGATGTCCATTTAAAAATTTTAATACAGATAGTTTAAAGAGTCTTTTATCTTTATCATTAACAGATAACAAAGTAACTGAACTATTAAGTATTATTACTCCTCAAAATCCTCAGTCTGCTTGTGGAGAATTTTTTAAATTAATTGACCAAAGAAATAGTGATAATATTGTCATCAAAAGTCCATTACAATATTATTTAGCAATGATTAATCAAATTTAAACACATAAAGTGTTTATTAAAACATTATTTTTGTATATATTAAATTATATACACTTGTTGGTAACTTTTACTACATGTAATAATGCATTACATAAATCTGTATTACACATAAGAAAAGTAAGTGATAAAAATAAAATTTCATTTACTAAATAAATCTTGAAAAAATACAAATGTTTAAAATCATTTAAGGCATTCTCTATGAGCTGTGTGTGAGACGCCATTTTTTACAAATATGCAAGTAACACCAAGTTTGCTCACGTCCACAATATTTCTGTGTTCATCATAAAAAAATATCATATCTGTTAGATATGTGTTAGGTTTTCGAAACACTGTCTTGGAAGGATCTGGGATAAGTGCTGAGCGGTCCATCACAGTCCTCTTACCAAAAGGAATTTCTGCCTTCCCCACTCCGTGGCCAGATCCTCCAGGTACAACGTCTCATCTCACGTATCAGCAAATACGCTATTCTCCGTGACCTACCGCAACTTAACAAGTATTCACCGACTCTGAGTTATTGGGGCCGATAATTCAGCACAGTTGAGTTTCTTGGAAGAGATGTTTCGACGGTTAGGACATTGACTGTTATGTCTGTATTTAGACATAAATACAGACGTACTTACGTCTCGTGACACTCAGAGGTCAGAACTGCGAGACGTCAATAAAGGATCGCCACTCGGACTACCACCGAACCTTAACATCGATGATAGATATTAGGTTCCGGCCCGGAATTAACCGGGTACTGGCGATACAATCCCTTTTCAAAAGGCCGACACTACGTGCGTCTCCTTACATAAAAAAATTGCCGCTAAGACAGCCAATCTGATCTGTTTCACGCTCTCAAGAAGCATACCTTTCAACAAGCAACTTGCAAAGCATATCTTACACTATTTCATCAAACTGTAGCGCCACTTGCACTCCTTGTCGCCGCTACCTGCCAAACACAAATAACAAAGACAGCCAACACAGGCCTCATTTCACCACAGACATCACTCGCAAGTGTGTCTGCTACAGATAACCACCACAGTTGTTATCTAGCAACATGGTACTCGCAAGTACCTTGCAACAACAGACTGTACCACTCGCAAGTGTGCACACCAAATACGTCAATGCTCGCAAGCATTTCACATTACAGCAACAAAAGGCACTCGCAAACGCATTTGAATACTGCGAGAGTAACACATATATGTATATTTAATCTATTACAAATAATGTTATAAGAAGCTTTCTTCTTGTTAAACTTTTGTATAAAATAGGCTTTCCCATTAATGGCAATAAATTAAATTAAATTATCATCACTGGACCACTCCCCCTTCCATAACCGCAACCAATCTTTAGGCACAGTCCGTGGCCTTCCTGTCTTGTCCATTATTTCGTAGCGATCATTCATCAAGATTTTTGAAATTACAAATGGTCCTAGCCGTCCTAGCACAGACGAGGTATATGAGTAGACTTTTTATCCAATGTATTTTTTCCACCTATCTGTATACAGGGTGTAACAAAAATGTTGCTCGACACGGAAATGGAACATTTGGGGGGGGTGAATTGGACCAACTTTTTCCTTAACAAGAATGTAATCTGGGTCCTTCGTTACCGAGATATTAACGAAAAACTCCGACCAATCAGAGCGCGAGTTTGCCAGCCGAGTTCCCGCGCTAGCGGTGGCTACGCGCTGCGCTTGTACTACGAAGCTCGGAACAAGTAGGTCAGCATGCATCGCAGGAAACTGCGTATAATAGCACATAAGAAAGACATAACAAATAAAATCATACTGTTTATCATCTGTCGTTTGTTATTTAAAGAGATTAATGAATGAAGCATAAATGTAGGCAAATTATGTGTAACGTAAAAAGACGAATGCACATTTACTTTTTTAAACAGAATGGAAACTAATAATTATTTGAAGAGAGAGGCCAAGCAGTTTGTAAATTTCCTTTTCAAATAACGTATGAATGAAAAGGTAATGTAACAGAGAATGAACGAGAAGTGATTGTAGTTCGGTATTGGCATAAAAATTCGTAATTTAATAACGGGCAATAATGCTACTGATAATGAATAAGTTTCTTCAAAAAGCCCGAAGAAAAATTTACGTATAGAAACTTGTAAAATTATAGCCAATCAGCAATAAATTGATTAGAACTCACCCTTTCGGAAATTCACCTGGAATTTGCAACCTATGTCACTAGGTCACTGGCCAATCCTGGGCATCGACGGACGGAACGATTTATGGTAGGGTAGTGTCCAGTCCACCGGAAAATAGTTGGTGCCGAATATTAACGTATCTTAAAGATTTATATCTCAAAATCATCGTTATTTTCAGAGATATCAGAAAGGTTTATTCACAGAAGTTGTTTAGTATGGAGAAGGCTATTATTTAGCAGCAATGATTTTTTCGTTGGTCGAGGATCTTCTGAGTTTTCCATCGTAGTCGGTGATGAATATTAGTGTTCCTTAACAATTTATATCTTAAAAAATTGCTCCTGATTTGCTCTTTCCGAATCTGAAATTGTTCCCACAGCACCGTTTATATTTAATGAGATATTGCAATATTTCTGGAATTCTGACCCTCGTCATCAACGAAGGCTGCAATAAACGAGCGCCTACCAAATGACGTAATACCTAACCTCTATGCAACAACAGTATTTCGTTTGCTCCTCGTTAATAAGTTGTTATTGAGATATCTGACTATTGATTATTATAAAGCAGATCAGGAGCAATTTTTTGGTGCCATAATATTTGTGTAAAAAGGCCATTTACTACCTATTTTGTAAACAACAAATTTTTGGTTTTTCTTTTGTGAATATCTCATTAACTATTAACGGTGCTGTGGGAGCAATTTCAGATTCGGAAGGAGCAAATTGGGAGCATTTTTTTGAGATATAAATCGTTAAGATACGTTAATATTCGGCGCCAACTATGTAAATAGAAGTTCCAAAAATCATCCTCTGTCCCGCGTGTCTAGAGCAGGTCCCACCAGCTGTAGCCTGTCTGTAGCCCTACTGATGAGTCTGGTCACTGGTCACCTCTGGTAGTGGCATCGAGACGAAACGCACCTCCTTTTTTCGTCCTCCTATCTGTTCCTCTCCTTTCTTTCCCCGTCCTGCTCCAACACTCTGATCCCTTAGGGCGGGAGTAGGAGTAAAGACCCGAAAATAGTGTCAACCGGGATACATGGTCCCCGGAACGTAACACTTGAAATCAAGAATTAATCTAATATGAAATTTATTACGATTTTTGAATCGATTTTCGAAAAATCGATTCTTAGTATTCGATTTTTAAGAGAATCCATTCAGCGTCGTTTTGAGAATCGATTCGTTGAAGCAAATCGAACATCCCTAACTCAAACCCAACTTGATGGTAATGGAGAACAAAATTTATTTGTAGGTACTGCCGTTAGATGTCGTATCATCAAGCCGTCCCAGTTATCGATTATGTATTTTTGCTAGCGCCCGTTTGTTTACATCTGCGCTTCGATCAATTCGGAGTTGGTCTCGATGGAGTCTCCCCTTCCCCCTTAACTTACCAAAAAACCTCAATCATTATAAAAAATATCCCCGGACGCCCAAAAAAAAAATCCGGGGAATTACCCACCCATCGACTGCATTCTTGCAAACTATAAATACTTATCTCTTGAAAGGCGAAATCATAAGCGGCCCTTTTACCTCATGATACTTACTCTTCAGGTGTTCAATAATTGAATATGACAAATGTGAAACATACATAAGAAGACAAATGAAGTGAGATTCAATGTCCTCTTAATTGCTGCTAAAAAAATGACCCTGACTAGCCAAAATTCGTGAACCCAAGTGCAATCATACTATTTTTTGCTTTTGTTAACATCAATAACGTTCAGTTAGATCTTATATATAAAACAATTATCATTAAAAAATTAGAAAAAGGGAGCTGCACATAGGGTTCAATTATATTGTCCCTACCCATGTTATTTGGGTATGTATGTAGTGCCATTTCCATGTACTTCTTAAGGAAATATCTTCTACTATTTAGTTGACAAAGTAAAAGTTCTACATTACTAAACCACACATACGCACCAATATCAATGTTCCATTCAACCCTGACGTAAATTGTTCCAATAGCTTTTTAACAGTCGCAAGTGTATGATGTTAAGCCTTGAAAGCCTCAAATCTCTGATGAAAAATGCTCTAAGTATGTCAGTAAAAACACACAAATATTACAGTAACATAATTATTGAATTTATTAGACTAGAACCTTAAATATTAGTTATAGTTTATAACTTTATAATACAAAACGATATAATTAATAACAAATAATTAAATTCTCAAAATATTAGCACTTACTGCTTAAATTGATCGATTTTTCTATTAATTCATTTTAAAATATAGAAATATATTTAACAATTAGGACTAACACTTCAGCATATCAGTATATTGTTTATCATTCGCTATCTGCACAATTAAGGCCCCTACATCCTTTCGTGCATTTTTAGCCGGCCAATAACTTGTACAATTCACATTACTACCACACACTGTGTGGTGCATTTCATTGGAACGTTACAAATAGACAATACCGATTATCTTGAAATCGTTGAGAAACATTCAAAATGGTTCTAGGAATGCAATTGAAGCAGGCAAGGAGCTATATGACTTCTTCAACTGTTGCTAATGTTTGCCAGTAGAATTATTAGTAGACAGAGATGGTTTGCTTCTGTGCTTCTTACAATTAGTTGCAGCAGAGGATGTTCTATATAGATCCAATGCACGGAAATGAGGTTAACCGATAAAGAATAATATCGATAACTTAGACCAAATCCGTGCAATAATGTACAGGAACTAACTGTAACGTACATTTCTAGGACTAGGACTAGGTTGGGTGATCGGTATGATTTGTCTTGGCCGGAATCTAAGAATACATCTCATAAAAATGCGGACATTAGAACTTACGTTTCCAACAATACTTTTTTTTATGAAATGCGCGGCTAACTTTTTGATAAAAAGTTTTTGCAAATAATAAAGCATCTAGGCAAATCTGGCGTAATCTTTGTGTCCCTCAACTAATAAAGCCTTAGCCGATGTGGACAACATACTCATCAATGATATCCTTGATTGACCGTCTTATTTACAATTAGACAGTGCCCTGCAATATATCGAAGGTGGGGGGCCTGGTGGGGCACAGCAAAACCAAGACATTTTTTAAAATTTCTACAACCTTTCTGTAGTTAATGGTAGTTGGCGAAAAAACTAGTTTAAGACTATGATATCAAATGTTCACATTGACAAACCTAATATCAGCTATTCACAAAAGTATTGTCATCAGCTGGAATCACTTAAAGAGCCAAGGTTGCAATACCGCTGACATGGATACTAGAACACGCAGCGACCTCAAATGTATCCTTTATAATTTTGGTCATATGGAGGAAACGCTAGAATACGGTTGCAACAAATCGAAGAGCATCTTTCTCAGCTACCAGCAATAAATCTGCTACAAAGCCTGGTGGCTGATGGATACATCGGTGTGAATGAAGCTCATGCTAGGCGTGCTATTTGATCAAGAATGTCAGCTAAGAGCTGAGTGGCCACGTCAGGCTATGGCTCTACCCTCGGGTAAAAGGATGATTACGCCTGACCCAATGGTAGATTATCACATACAACATATGGGATACCGAGTCCAAAGTACTATCCAACGCGAACTGGTTGTAATACCAGACATAGCCACTAACATACTACTACGATACAAAAAGCTCTCACCTGAAGTCACACTTGATGTATTGTTTGGGAAGTAGAAATTCCAAAAGAATATTTTGAGGATCCTGGCGATTATATTCCGTACGACCAAGTTATGGAGCTCTCTGTACAAAATGATATAAAGAAGCCTGCTCGGCACTAGCGATACCAAGGAATCTACCCAACCTGGACCTGCACCTCCAGGGGGTTCAGTGGAGGCTCGAGAGGCGGGAATCTAAGATTTCAACTTGTTCATCAAAGCCTGTTCTACCAATATTTAACAATTAAAAAATATAGCATGTCATAATAAAACGTTAAAAATTTGTCTCTTCTAAGCTCAATGTATATCTTTAAACGGTTAATACGTTTTTTTGTAGTAAACAAATTCTTTAAATGTAACTTATACTATATATTCAAACATGTTTCTGAGTATAAGATCTATGTATAATATACTTCGTTACACTTCATAATTCACAGAGCCATTTTTCATAATTCAGGACCTCAATTTAAATCTACAGAATTCAAGAGCAATATTCTGGACTTGTTGTTTCAGTTTAGTCCACTTTTGATAAATGTCCATGTTCATATAATAGTTTTAATTATTTGGTCTAAAGAACAGGATATAAAATTGCATAGATATAAACATTGACTAGTATACCAACTCCATGGTACGTGAATTTTGTTTTGGAAGGCAATAGTCGTCGTTAAGAATTTAATTCAATCATTTCAAGAATTGACCGTCGCAAATCTTGTATGTGTGTATTTGAGGTTTTCAGGCTTTTTAATATTCCTACACCTTCTTCTCTGATTAACATGCTGCAGTAATGTTTTGCTACAAATAATAAGAATTTAAACGTAAGATAATAGTTATACAATATCTATCTTAGTTTTAAGAAAATACATTACCTGCAATATCTACACCAACTAATAATTTTTTATGTGTAAAAGATACTTACGATTTTTTGTAATTACATGCTGTATTGCCCAAACTGCCCAAAGTCGAACAGGAGCATCTGAGCAACGCAAAAGTGGGAAGAAAGGTTGAAAACTTCTATAAGCGACCATTTCTCCTTGAGGTGTTCGCCAATGTGTCACAGTATGAGCCAACTGTCGTAATAATTGTATCCTAGTTTGTTTCAAACCCTCAGGATACCATAAACGTTGATCAGCGCTAAGCAGATGTGCCGTAATACCTGCTGCGAAATAAGACACATCGATGTGTGCAGAATCCAGGAGCGTAGGAAGCATAGAAATGAATTCACGTTGCATGAGCCTTGGTTTCAAATAATTAATCTACAATACAATTTCATTACTTGTTGTGTCATTTTTTTTCTAATTCTATGATAGATAAATTACTGTACAAACCTCTGCTATATTATTTAGTAATCCCAGTACTTTAGTTTCAACACTAGATTCTCCCTGAAAACTTTCAAGCATTTTAAGGAACAACTCCATTCCACCTTCTGCCAGAAAAACTGTACATGTTGTAGCACTTTCATCAGTTAAATTCCACAGTGCACTTAATGTAAATTTCATTGTTATATCTACCGATTTAGATTCAACTCTAGACTTAACTATTGCAAGTAATTTGGACATGTACTGCGGTTGAGCACCAAGCATAGATGTTTCCACTGGAGTTATTTTTGCTGCCAAGATTGAGGAAATAGCAACAGACATGCGAATCACTGATGGTTCATTAAAAGTTAACAGGGAATTCATCACTAATTTTGCACACCTATAGAAATAAAAATACATTAAATTACGGAATGTTATTGGTTCATTCCACGCAAAATCGGACACTTTTTGGAGCACCATTTCAGATTTTATTCGAATTTGGATATGTTGTAGTCTTTAACGTTATATAAACGAATCTCGACAGATTTTTGAATATTTCAAAAATTGTTGATTTTACAACTGTTTCAAATTTAGGTTCGGTTTTTTCAATAAATCATAACTATTGCACTAACAAACTGATCAACCTGAGCTTTGTGGGTACTTACAGTGGAGACATAAGAGTACCAAATAAAAATGATTTCAGTTAAAGAAAGATATTTTTCAACCATTTATTTTGCAATTGTTTTAAATAAATGCCCTGTTTTTATACTGCCGAGCTATTGAAAAATTTGAAAAAATGAGGCTATAGCTCTGTTTTCCTCTTTATGGACGTGACTTCAAAAATATGGACACTTTAAAATTGACCATATGAAAAATTAATTGTAGTGAACGCTGCATCGAATTACATCGGCTCGACCGGCCAAGCCGTGTGGTACTAGGCTAGCTGGTACGGCTTGCCCGTTTGAGTCGATGGGCTTCGACACAGCGTTAACTTCAATCAATTATCATATTGCCAATTTTAAAGTCTCCACATTTTTGAAAATATACCCACAAAGAGAACAAATAGGGCTATATCCTCATTTTTTCAAATTTTTAAATAGTTCGGCAGTATCAAAACAGGGCATTTAATTAAAACAATTGATAAATAAACGGTTAAAAAATATCTTGTTTTAACTGAAATAATTTTTATTTGATACTCTTATGTCTCCACTGTAAGTACCTACAAAGCTCAGTTTGATCAGTTTGTCAATTCAATAGTTATGATTTATTGAAAAAAGGTTAATCCTAAATTGCAAACAGCTGTAAAATCTACAATTTTTTAAATTTTCAAAAATCCTCGAGATACGATTATATATCGATAAAGACTACAACATATCCAAATTGGAAAAAAATCTGAAATGGTGCTCCAAAAGGTGTCCGATTTCGCGTGGAATGACTCTATTATGAGTTCATGCATATTAATATTCCAATACATTTATACATTGTTAAATAGGTAACTGAAGATGAAGTAACTTATGATAATGCCTCTCTTAAGTTTATTATTTTTTTCGTTGAAGTTTGAAATATCTAATCAAAATTTTTTATAAACTTTGTACCTGTATTTATCAAATGCAACATCTTGGAGAATTCTATCACTACATAATGTCAGCAGCGTATTCATCTGAAGTCGATAATTGGTAGGATAAGATTCCATTGCTACCATTGTTAATTCAACAACTTGTTTAAGTATAGATGGGTGAATCATAATAGCGAATTCACCTTTGGAAAGATTATAAAGACAGGCAGTGCACGGCATCTGTACACGAACTTCGTGTGGATATTTTTTCATACCAGCTAACACCAACTTTATGACATCAACCCGTGGTTCAAGAAAGTTATGTGTTAAACGGAATAAACTAAGTAAACATTTCTCAAGATAAAGTGGCCTGCATGTATACCTTCTAAGAGCTTCCAAAATCTGGGATTCTGTTGCTGTACCACTAACCTACAATCGGAGGTGAACAATATGTTGTATCAATTATAACAAAAATAGTTTCAATGAAGTAGCAATATAAGATAAATATTATTTAAAATGTTCTATCCAGAACAAAATAATCAGAACATCATTATTGTAACTTACAACAAGTCCAGGTCTATAGTCTTTGTTTGCCGAATTTGTTAAACTATCTTCATAGCAAGCATCTGTACTAACAAGACCCAAAAACTTTAAATGTGGATGGGCTTTAATAAATTCTTTTAAGTCTCTTGGATCTATATCACCTTTCCCTATAGTAAATATAAAAAAGAAATTTATACTTATTTAGAAACATCTAGCACAAATATACAAGTCATATAATACTCACCAGATAAGTCTAGATTAGTTAAATATGGCATACAATGTACAGCTTTTAAAAAGTCTGTTATTTTTGGTTTTGCAGGCCCCAAAACAGAATTAACAGCATGCATATCTTTTTCATCAGAAATGTCTAAATTTCTTAACTTATTTAATTTCAATAATACTGAGATTAAATTTGCACTTTCATTTATCTTTAAATTATACATATTCAGCGTTTTCAATCGATTTTTACATTTTTTTAACGGTGTTATGTCATCAACTTTTGTACATGAAATATCTAAATTTTCTAGAAGAGGAAGGTCTTCGACCACTATTTCCAGACCATGTTTATTAAACTCTGTTCCTGATACATTTAATGTATTCAATGCTCTTAATTTGCTTAGTGTTACTACCACACAATACCTATTGTAACATACAAGTATACAGTGTAAATATGATTACATATCAAATAAATATTTTGCTTCATATGTATATCTTCATGAAAGTAGTGAATATTAAATACCTTGAACAATCCATAAAACTTCCCTTTGCTACACTCAATGACCTAAGATTTTGTAAACTCCAGTCACTTAAACAAGTTATAAGCTCATTAACAGTTATTTTTAATCCATTTACTATCAACTCTTCGACTTTATGTTGTTTTAAAACTTTTAAGCCCTTTGCTGATAATGCAGATGCATCTTTTAACCTCACATGTCTATAAAGAGTTGTTAAAACAATAAATATTATATCCATCCACACTTTATTTTTTATAATAATTATTCCGTTCAATTTAATAAATATGATATAATTACCTTAATCTAGTAGACTTTGAATCAAAGAGTGTAATGGTCAAGTCAGATAAAGTTTTTTTTTCACAAAGGTTGGATAATAATTGTTCTGAGAGTTCAGTGGGAATAAAAACATCTGGATACTTAAAACTAAGTCTTGTTGCTGAACTTGATGATCCATCAGTGGATGCCCTAGGTACTGTTGCAGTATTTCCCAAAATATCTGTATTACTATCATTTACTGAAGACTTTGCTTGCAGACCTAAAATTTACATATTTCTTGATCATATGTTGTTCTGTTAAAAATAATTTTAAATAACCAATTTTAACTACTTAAATTCAATATTAAATAACTTAATGAAAAATTTAATGAATGAAATAACTGATATTACTCACTGCAAATAGATGTCTCCAATGAACCAGGACATAGCACACACAAATTCAAAACATTGTCACAAATAAAATCAATGCAAACTTCACGTAGACTTCTAGGAGATTCAAACATCTTCTACTTTTTTTTACATTCACGTCTTTTTATCTTCCTTTTATTGCTCTTTTAAATATTTTATTATTTCCAATGGTCTAGCATCTCATTGTTTCATATTTGCTTTACAGGATCTGTCATAACATACGAGTATTATTAAATTTGACATACTGTGTATTTCATAGCAGGCATAAGTCACAAGATCAAGTAAACTAATTTGCATGACAATTTGGACACTTGTCATGCGAAATGAACTATTACACTTGTAAAATAATTCACAATTGCGTATGTCTCAATAAAGAAATGATCAAAGAAACCATGCACATCACTTTGTTTGTGTCAAATAGGTGACACAACTTCAAATAATGATCACTAGACTATGTTTTCAAACATTTATAGCATATGCGAATGCGCAAAACACAATAAAGTCAGAATTTTAGTGATGTGCAATATATAGTTTTTCTTTTATTTTTAACCTAATATCGGTGAAAATAAACTTCTGTCTAATTACATTTTTCATAAGTTGGTCCATAAAAATTGGAATTTACATAAACATTTGCAGTATAATGATTACGTAATAACAAGTTCACAAAATGGAATAAATATTTGTGTCACTATGCATCTAATTTGTAAGCACATTCATTATACCACATATTGAAAAGAACTTATAAAACTGCAAACTTAGTTTTTCAACGCATCGGTATTTATAACCCGATCACAGCAAATATAAAAGAACTATTAAATTTTTGTGCAAATTCGTTTGAGAGTACCATCGATTCACAACTGTAAAGACAACCGCGGAAAATCATAGTCTCTCACCTGTAGAGAGAACGCCATATTGACTTGCCAAATGTCCAACAAACGAAACAGACCTACAGCCAAAAAGTCTTACGTATGCATATATATATATATATATATATGTGTATATATATACCTATATATACATATATATATTAGATGTATGTTGTATGCAAGATACGTAATCATAACTGTCATACATAAGTAACGTATTCGAAAATAAAAAATTGTCAATCCTAACTTAATCATTTGACTAACGCGATTAGTGTTATTCTGTGATACATAATTATTTTTATTAGTGACACGTACCTTAATACTGGGGAATATTAAAATTTGTATTGTTCTACTTAAAACAATTTATGAGTTAATGTATATTTATATAAGAAATTCGTGAACGCCTTTTAACGGAATTTTTTCGTTTTTAGTGACATAGATAGTGAAGTTTAAGTTTTACTTGTAAAGGAATTCATTGGTTATTGACACATTATCAATATGGCGATAAAGTGGAAAACGATGTACTTTTCAGTGTGTATTCCGATGTCATTCCTGCATGGTAAGAATATTCTCTAGGTAAGATCGTAATATTTATATAATGATTATTTGAATGCATTCGTGTTCGTAAACTTATTGTTGTTTCACATTACAGAATCGTATATATTTAGTATCGTTCGATCCCAAAATTAACGGATTAACGGGTACTTATCGAAGACGCTGATTTGAAATGCAAATCTCAAATATAAAAAGTTAGATAATTTTCTATAAGCGTAACATATTTAATCATATATGCTCCTGTTTCTTTTTTTTATAAATATAAAAAAAACTGCGCAAATAAAAATTTTATTATCCAATTCTACATTTATTCATTGTTAGTAGAAATATTATAAAATAAGGAAATAGTATATAATAAACAAATGGTGATACATTTAAATATTTCTTTTTTCCATAAGGTTTAAAGAAGAATGAATCTTTCAAGATAAGGTCATGGTTTGAATCCTTTAATAAGTGTCAACCATTTTATAATGTCATGTTACCTGATAACTGATATTGATCTGACTTCTACCTACACTTGAATTTAATTTGCTAGAAAGAATGCCAAGTTTACGAAAAAAAGTTGCTGGCTTTATGCGGCAACTGTCAATCAGTAACTTGGCAGGAGCTGTAGAAAATATAGGTCAAGGTGAACAAACCTTGTGTAGCCCTAGATCATTAACACAAGATTTTACAAGTGGTTGCTTTATTACACGATACCTTGATGGGTAATATTTATTTTTTGTAAATAATATTCTAATTAATATTCTAAACAAAATATAATATATAAGTAATATTTTTAGTCTAGAGACAAAACAGGAAGGACCAACAATTGTGCATGGTAGAGATCCGGAAGAATTGCCAATTAGACAACTTGGAAGTTTTCAAGAAGACAAAAATGTAATCGCTGCCTACACTGGTCCTGATAGTGGACTTACAGCTGTTAATGTACAACAAAAACATTTAAGTATTAATGACGTTGACATAGATTACATTGATATGTTAGATCAAGGTGAACAATATAGAAATAGTAAGTATTAAAATCATTGAATTCCAGAGAAACGATCTAAGGAACAAAAAAATTGTTTCTTTCAGCATCTGCAACTACAACACCCACGATTGCTGGTATTGTTGATTGGTTTCATCCTTGTGAAACAGCATATGGAATTGCGACTACATTATATGAAAAGAACCCTACAAATAATACAAATAATGGGGAACCAATTGCAGACTGTTTTGGCATTGTAGCAAGAGGAAACTCATCTATTTTAGCACTTGCTGATGGTGTTAATTGGGGTATGATTGTTTTTAAATAAGTTAATACATGTGTGTGTGTATATATATATATGACTAACATTTTTATGGCTAATATTATTATAATAAATATCACGATTCTAAATACAGTACTTATATAAATTTATTAGGTACCAAAGCAAGTATTGCAGCTAGATCTGCTATACATGGAAGTATGGAATACTTGAATACAGCACTCTTTTGCCCTTCAGTTAACAATGAAATAACAACAACGAAAGATGTTTTTATAGCTTTACTTCGTTCATTCCATGCTGCACATTCATTAATTCTACAGGAGCAAGGAATGCTCACAACATTAACTGTATGTGCAGTTCTTCCACTGCCAAATTCTGAGACCAATACAGATCAGAAAAAATATGTGGCTTGTACCTGTAATGTTGGTGACAGTTTAGCTTATGTATATTCAAGGTAACACAGATATGGTACTAGAAATTATTAGATTTATAACATATTTACATGATACATAACTTCAATAGGAAAACTGGTGTAAGAGAAATAACAAGAGGTTCTCATGATATTCATTGTATGCGCGACATGCGCGATGCTCTTGGAGCTTTAGGACCTGTAGATGGATGCAATCCGGAATTAAATAATTTAACGCTTGCAATGACAGAGGTTGAGAATGAAGACATTGTATTTTTAACTAGCGATGGAATTTCTGACAATTTTGATCCAGTAGTTGGAAAATTTGCTGTCTTACCATGCCATAATAGTGTACCTGATTCAACTGTGAAAAATCATGCCGAAGGAAGGTCGAAAACCCGTCGAAAATCAGCAGAAAATTTGAGACATGCGGATTCTGGTAATAGTAATAAAAATAAATCTAATTTGCCGGTAGTCGAGGCTTATCAAAGACACGAATTAACGCTTCTGAGGATGGAGGATTTGTTACGAAGAGGTGTGTCTGGAGAAGGTCCACCATGTAACAGTGCCAAACATCTTTGTGAACTTCTTTTGGATTTTGCAGTAAGTTATCTAAAGTATAAATAGAATATATGAAATAATATATATATCATACATTTTTTTAACAACAAATACATGAAACTAAAAGATACTGGATAAAATAAAATGCTGACTCTTAATACTAATGTGAGTTTACTTTTCTTTATAACAAGGTGCGCATAACTGCTGCCAAAAGACGAATATTGGAAGATACAGATTTATATTACGCACAAAGTAAAGACGGCCATTTAGTCCAACTTTCCAAACAAGAACAGAGAACTCGGCGAATAAAGACATTGGACAAGGTTTCCATGATTCCTGGAAAGTTAGATCATGCAACAGTTGTAGCATATGTAGTTGGAACATTTGATTCAAAATATGGTTTATAATTAACCATGGTAATAAAGTTATAGTTTTTATTTTTAAGAAAAGTAATAAATTAAAATGTTTTTTTTTATAAGATGTTACTGAACAAGTTTAATTAAAAAGTATTGTTTTAAGTATTATAAATTTAAGTTGTTTATATCATTATTTTGTTATTTAAAATAAAAATATATGTGCTTATTCTGTATGTGACAAGACTTACTTAACTATATAGTAAATCCAAATTGATTCGAATGTGTGTAACTTGTACATATATGCAATAGTACACGTGCCTGTACCATCGTTGCACGCATTCAAATATACGCGGTAGCGGTAAATATTAGTACAAAAAATTTCTTATTTTGAAAATCTCTTAATAACGCACTATGAAATTTTCGTTCGAAATTAAATGGTATTTAAATCTGTCTTCTTACTAAATTGTGTTCAATACAATGGCATAATTGAATAAAAATTTCATGTAAACATGCGTTTCGTTCAAAATCTCTTGAAATGCTAGCGTATTAAAATTACCAACATTCTCTGTTTAGTGATTGGTTATAAGTGAAGTATCAACCAATCACATTGAAGAGTTTGCTAAATGGGTGCTGCAAAAAGTTACAGTACCATAACCGAGGTGTCGCCAATGGTAAAAGCACTGGGATTTTATAGACTTGTGCTAATGGCAGCCTTGACAAATACATGATGGCCGTTGCCACCGAATAGTGTAACGCGTACATGGAACTGTCGTGTGCCAGAAAAGTTTATTATTTTAAGTAGAATTTTGCCTCTTGTGTAGTTCATATATGTTGTTTTTGTTCACGAAGGAACGAAAGGTTGTGTACAGAACTAAAATCATGCGAAAAGAAGCGTGAAAAAAGGAAAAATCGTGAGAAGAAAACACGGGTGGCAAAACCGCGTTCGCGGAGGTAATATTGACAATTTTTCATCGCGACGCTACTCGCATTTTTTCACGTCAATATGAAATACATGTATCCGGGACACCTTCTTCGAGTTTCTCAGCCATTCGGACCGAAAAATTTTTCACAGATGGTTGCTTTTTCTTTTGTTTACGCCTTGTCAGTTGGGCTTTTGTTGTGTGCATCCGCGCGCCGCTGGTACCCATAAGTGAGAGTGAGATGTATGCGATTCTTGTATGCGTGTAAGTGGCTTGTGTAGCACGTATGCTTGCACACAGGCGTGCAAGTTATAACCTCAAAATGTGTTTCCAGCTGTCGAATTTTTATTCGGAACTTTTCTTCCCGCTATAAAATGATCATTCATACCTATAACTTTCAACGTGCCATAACAGTGTGTTCGATTTCTATCCCATTGTACGTAACATAATTTTTCAATGATAACATCCATTCTGTTTGATAGTAAAAGTTTCACTAAATTAAAATATTACGAGTTCTTTGTAAATTAAGAAGAAATAATATAATTTCAGTGATATTTTTCACATGTATTAGTTTTATGTGGAATGACTAATTGAATATTGTTTACATATTACAGGGTATAAATTAAGTGCAGATTTTGGGAAGCCATAAGTGTACTATATGTGACACTTTCAAATAAAGCTGAAGTGTGAAGCAGCGTTGAATCATATTTAACAGTTTAAATACAAAATGTCCTGATATTAGTGCTCTGAATGTTCATGAACTGCTGAATAATGACTACCGAATATTATCTGGAATTGGGATAATATAAAGGACATATTATTTAGATAGTTACATATCCAGACTTGTTTTATATGCACAATTTCTAATGTAATGTCATGGAAAAATGTAGTTCAATTGTGTTTATACATGGATGTAATCCTGCAACAAATGTTCTTCGACGATAAGTCAGAATACTTTCAGAATGCAATTGTGCAGTTATTCTTTAATGGATAATGTAGTTCGAAAAAGAACTACCTGTTGTGTGCAAGAAATTAATATCCAAGTATGGTTAGCACTACAGTATGATATTAAACACAAACATCAGCCACATATGTAAACACAACTATTCTGAAGTTATAAGAAAGTACTGCCTAAATAACGGGTGAAACACGAAGTTACATGGATGACAGGAATAGGAGACGTAGGTCGCAGACGCGTTGAGTGGCGCCGTAGCGCAAATATAACTTGTTCCCTGTCACTGAAATCCAGTTATCACTGGCGAGTAATACGATTACAGCGAATATTAATAACAGTAAATAGACGTCAATTTATTTGCCTATATTTTTTTAAATTTAACATTCACATTTGTAAATACTTGTAGACAATATCTATTTGTAACTTTGAATCAGTGTATTCATGCATTGGAACTATGTATTTATTGTATCTTCTATTTCAGTTGGTAATTCTCAATGTGTATTGCAAATGTATAGGAGTACATAGAAGCAAACATAGATAAGCTGAAAAGGTGGCTAGACGCTGCCCAGAGTAAAGAGGGGCTGCGTGGGCATGCAGCAGCCTCAGTCACGCCCTCTTCTCGGGGACTCAGTATCCTCTACAACTTCCCCGACTGCTCGGCGTAACAATCCTGTTGCTGTTTTAACACATCAACAAGTATGTTCCTTTTAACTACAGTAAATAACATTTGAAAATCATATTTCCCTGTTACTAAGTGATATTGTAAACTGTATTTTGATTTTCAGTTGCAACAATTACAACAATTACAGGCCCAAAATTCGAGTGGTCAATCACTGACATTTGCTTTGCAACAAACATCAAATAATGTAAGTATTTTTAATTAAGAATATAAGAAGAGTATGTCCTGTATGCAGTTAAAATTGTTTCCTATTGGCTAGGGAGCACACACGTAGGGATATATTGCGTGTTCACACTTTTAGATGACAGTGTTATAAAAAACTGTCATAATTTTTACCCCAACACGTGTGCTCCTTTGTTAAAGAAAATAGGATATAATGAGTTCTATTATAAAAATTTGTATTACAGCCGCAAGACCAAGGAAATGGATCAACGACTGGAAATCACATAGTATATGTAAACCAGCTAAATCATTTAAATCAGGGTACCATAAATCCCTCGGGGACTGGTATGGGCCTACCCCCGGCCACCCCCACTTTTGGGGTGGGCCTTAATATGGGATTGCCACTATCACTTCTAAATACCAGCCTTACATCCCTCACATCTAATGTTATCACTACGTCAAATCCTCTGCTCAATTTGGGCCTGCCAAGTATAAATACAGGACTACCTACAATAAATCCTAGCCTGAATCACTTGAATGCTATAAACTCCAATTTAACTCCGAATATTGGTTCAAACAGTATTAACAATGGTTTATCTGGTTTGGGGCAGGATTTAAATAATATAAATACTGGAATTAATAGACTTAATACGTTAAATTCAACGAGTATAAATTCTGGGTTGTCCAATGCTGGAATTACTAATGTAAATCCAAATTTGACGAATTTAAACTCGAACGTGAACCAGAATATTACCAGTTTAAGCACAAACTTCACTTCCCCAAGTTCTGGTGTGTCTGGTTTAACTGCTATCAATCCAAACATAAACGCAAATTTGACTACTACAAGTATAAATTCTGGTGTGAATCAAGGTCTCAATCGACCTGTAAGTGCTTTAACAACTGGATTGACTCAAACTAGTCTAAATTCCAACAGTACGCAATTTCCATTCCAAACCATACAAAGTATACAAAGTATTGCACCACACATTGTTGGATCAAATATTGCACATGTACCAAGCTCTGCCATATCGCAACACCCAAATTCTAATGTTTCTACTATTTCACAAATATCAAATGCTGGCACTTTGACGAGTTCCAGTATATTCACTAGCACTTCCAGTGAACCGATTCATACAACCACAGCAAATGTGAATCACGCTTCGAACGTGAATCTCACTACTAATATTCCACATCTTGGTACAATGCACTCAAATATATCTAATGTAACAACGTCTAATGTACAGCATATATCTGCAACGAACGAGCCGAATATGTCACTGAGTCATACTTCTTCTTTAAGTTCCTCTCAATCAACTGGATTTCAACCTCAGCGACAGTATTCGCAGGGAATTAACCCTGGCTTAAGTTCGTCAGTTACATTAACGGGCTCGTCTCAGCCATCAAATGTGGTCAGTACAATAAATACTGTAAAATCTATGCAAAATATTCAGAGTCAGAATATTAGTTCTCCAAGCAGTCCATTTTCAATACCGTTGAAAAGTCCAGCATCTAATATTGCACCACCCACACCAAGCCCTAGTCCTAATAGGCTATTACTTAGAAGTCCAGCGTCAAATTCAATACAGTCGAACAGAAATAGCCCAAGTCCTGTCGGGACGTCGACTTCAAATAATAATTTTAATATACAAATGCAAAGTCCAATGCAGAGTCCAATGAGTGTTAGCCAAATTCAAAGTCCTGTACTTAGTCCATATCCTCCTGCGAAAAGTCCTCATCTATTAAGTGGAAATAACTCTCTGAACAACAGAAGTCCAGCACCTGGAGGCAGTCCTGGTCCACCTGTGGTAAATAAATTTTTATGTTGTGTAATATGTAAAATTTCTATGCTTTCCAACATGATTTCAAAGTTTTAATGTTTCTTTTTTTTAATTTCCAGGTTAGACCTAATACACCCATACTTCAGCAAGGTATGCAAGTATTACAAATAATTCATGGTGCACCACAGGGGTATCAATCCACGCCAACACAGCTAGTAACTAGAACGCATCTTTTTGGAAATCAACAAATTCAAATAGCAACAACTAAGCCTGCAAAACAACCTCCTCAAATTTTACCAAAACCTCCTAATCAGCAACCGACTGGATCACAACAAAAACAACAACGGGTTACTACCACAATTACCAATCAAGTAATATATTTTGTTGAATTAAAACCTTTTCAACTGTTCTAAAATATTTTTTTATTTAAATTATTGAATGATTATAAGGTGACTCAACAAACTCAACCACAGTTAGTTCTTGCTGGGCCTCAACAAAATCCCACAACAGCTACAATGATACCAACAGCACAGGGTCTTCTATTGAATCAGGTAATTGTATGTCTGTAAGGTGTTTGTCACTTGCATGTTTATTCATTATGAGATCATTCGAAAGTATACATGTTACGCCTATTCTAGCAGTTACCAATATAAAATAATTTTAACCCTTTTAATCCCATGGCCCGATTTTGGCTGACTTGATTCATGCGCGAAGAATCTTTCCGGCCGATATCACCCGATTATGCGATGCCAATTTTTAAATGGAAATTTAAATTAAATCTCTTTCGATGTTCTTTTGCTGCTCTATAGCCTATTTTGTCACACAACAATTCCCGTAGTATTTCCAACAATACACGGACGTCTTATGCCGGGTGCAAGAGGGTTAATATGCTTGATCTCTTCTATATTGGCTTATTCGCATTTTTAGTGTCACAATTATCTGCTTTATGCTTCATATGTTTATCACATTTCATACATAGGTTTTGCCGTCAACTGGACCTGTTATTGTACAGCAGCAACCAGGTGGTGTTCAACTTATACTAAGAACGCCAGCAAGCGCCCAGCAACAAACACATACTGCACAGGTGATGGTTTCATCCATGCAGTCAAACAATTTCATCATATTCAATCATTGCTTACTTACTACTTACATGAAATATCTTTTTATACGTCATTAGAAATTTTACTTAAGGTCATTGTCAATTTTTTCACATGGTGTCCAGTCATCATAAAATTTTGTGTGCATTCCATGGTTTCGATTTATGTATTAAAATCTTCTGATAAATTACATTAAAGTAAATTTTTCTTAGGATACTTTAAATCTAATAAGGAAAATTAGGGAAAAGTATTGTGTTGCAAGGTATAGTTGTTCAATATATACATTTTTTCCTCTTACAGCTAACACAACAGCAATTAGTAAGAGTTGTCACGGCGCAAGGAATGCAGTTGCAAGGCATTACTCCTACGTTTTTCGCTGTACCTAATGGATTTCCTTCAGCTGCTTCTCCAGTAATTAGACATACTCCGTCTAGTCCAGCACCTTGTAAGTTTTACAATTACTATTTTATTGAAATATATTTTCGCGTTAAAAGTTAAAACTGCATGTGCTCGCGCGCAGTTATATTATATTATATTATATACATATATATATATATCCTTTTTTCCATTCAGCTGCGAATTCAGGGACTGGTAATTCTATAGTGATTCAAAATGCAATGGTACAAAGTCCTCAACCGCAGATTTCACAAGTGGGTTCAGGTACTAATACCAGTAGTACTCCGTGCACGCAAACCGTTGTCGAACAGACATTATTACCACCACCTAAGAAGAAGGCAAAGAAAAAGAAGAAAGCCAAACGGAAAGACGACGAACCACCGAAATTAGATCTTGCTAGTATAATGAAAATATCAGGAATTGGGGATGACGATGATATTTTTGATACTGATCTTACAACTGAATCTGATGTTTCATGTCAAGTTCAAGTGGAATCAAGTTCAGGGCAAAATCTAGGACAACTTCCACCTCAAGTGACTATACCAACCAGTTCTGCTCAGAATCTGATACAAGTACCTGCACCAAATACAACGAATACCCAAACTTCTGTCTCTCAAACACTTAATAGTCAGCTTGTTGCCCAACTTCAGATGCCTGTGCAGAACGCGATACAGGGCCAATTGCGATTCGCTCTTGGAGAGGATGGAAGGGTTGTTTTACACCGTACTTCAGAACCAAATCAACCTGAAATGGATCAGACGACTGCTCAAGCATTGATACGATCGTTAACGCAAGGCGGTGGACAAAATTCACCGATTATTTCGCATCTTCTTGGACAAGCGCAAACAACAACACAAACTACACAAAGTACTGTATTACAAAAACAGAAATTCGTGAAATCGCCTCTATCATCTAGTGTTACAACAGTTGCTACTACCGTAAGTCCTACAGGTCCTCAAAGTGTTACTTGTGCTACTAGTCCACAACATGTGCAAGTATGCTCGAAACCAAGTAATCAGCAGAAAAGTGTAAATGTTCCTCAAGAATCTAATCCTGTGTTAAACGTTTGTGTCCAAAGCAACCTTGGAACTTTACAAACATTGGATATGCAAGCCTCGAAAAGTATTACCGTGCAAAATCTTATACCAACATCGAAGACATCATCCAATTCTAGCCTTGCACAGCCTAACAGTAATGTCCTGACGACTTCTGATGTTTTATCAACAAAACCGTCGTGTACCACATTCAATGTGCAAAGTTCTCGATTAAGTAATACAAACCAAGCAACTACTAATCAACAAAATTCTAATGTTTCTACACAAAAATCTAGTCAAGTGCGGCTTACGAATGCTTGTGTAACTACTAATGTGCGACAAAATCTAAATAAAATATCACAAAGTGGTGCACATGTTCAAAAGTCATTACCAAATAGTTTAACTGTACAAAATGAACACAACATGGCGAAAAATAATCAGAATCTTCAGCAAGAAACTGTAACATTACAACAAGAAACACCAATATTCCAGCATAATCAACACCAGCAAATAACGGCGCAGACTGTGCAAACGCAAAACGTTCAACACGTTTTTGAACAAAATCTTCAAACTTCTGGTTCGAATGTTCAACACAATTCTGTGAATATGTTGCAGCAACAAAGTTCTTGTAATACCATGCAGCATGATACTATGAATGTATTACAACATTCTAGTATCCAACCAAATATAATTAATGTGTTACAGCAAAATGCAGCTGGTAATGTACAAAATATTGAGCAAAATTTACAGTCCAGTATCAGTGATATAGCTCATGCGCAACAGAATGTTATCACCAGTATGCAACAACAAAATACATCCGCTATTTTACACAATACGAGTGTACAACAGAATGTGAATGTGCAGCAACAGAAAGTTGTCGCGCAGGCGAACACGTTTTCTTCTGTTAATGCACAACATTTCGAAACTCAAAATACGGCCAATACTATACAGCAAGGACTAAACACGCAACAAAATAGTCAACATCGAAATATTGTTATAACGAATGCTCCTGCTCCTTCAAGTACTATTCAACAAAACGAATCTCAGAAAGTAGAAACTCAAAGTACAACAATGCTGAATTCAGCTGCAAACAATATATTAAACAATGCACCGAAAATTACACCTGAAATTTTAAATGCATTGAGCAATTTGAATCCTAATGATCAATTGTTAATTGCAAATGCAAACGGACAGATGCAAGTAATAAGTCAGCAGCTTTTACAACAGTTTTTAGCTGGGCAATTAAATGCAACCAACCAGGTACAAAATCAAAACCAAACTCAAAAAATAGTGATTGGCGAGCCAGATGGAAACAGTCAGAATTTACAAGGTGTACAAATCAATACACCAACAAGTCAAATAATTGTAAATAGTTCTGGTGGAGCTCCTACTATTCAAAACAACATACAAAATATTGTGGTACAAGCTGCACCTTCTCAAATGCCCCAACATATACAGATCCAAAATTCCGGTTTTCCAAGTCAGTTTATTGATAATCTAAATCAACAGCAAATCAGAAACACAGGTCAAACAAATCAACCAAAGAAGGCAAAAATTATTAAAAGAACAAAAACTGTTACTACTCAGAATGCTGGAAATACCCAGGTATGTCGAAAAATTCTATTCTTATTTTTCGATACTTATGATGTATCTTTTGCTTTAAATTTAATATTTGTAATAATAGGTAACCAAAACTGTTACGGTTTCCCGCCCAACAATGATACCATCGAATACAAGCAACCTTCAGAAGGTTGATAATTCTAATAAAACAAATGCTGTGGCATCTCAAAGTACAAATCCAATTAAGAGTGAATCTACTCAAATTGTCACAAATGGTCCTGTACTTCCATCATCTCCTGGAAGTCACTTATCAGTTCCTTCAAATGGTCAAATGGTTCAAAGAGTGCAAACCATTCAACTTCCTGCTCAAAAGCAGCAGTTACTAAAAAATATACAATCACAAATACAAGCTATATTAGCTCGTAAATCGGGTTCACAACCAGATCAAACCGTTTTGACGAAATTATATCAAGAACAAGCGAAAATCTTAGCAAGTGGAAAGATTGTCAGTACTACAACACATTCCCTTAGTAGTGTAAGTTATATATAAATGTACTTTTATATAATTATACGTTTTTGTAAAAATTTCACGGTATCATATAACTTTGGTCGAAATAGGGTTCAGAAGCAAGTTTCAATGTAAATGCAGTCTCAACAGTAGCATCCACTATAATTCCTCAAAATTCTTATAAGAATCAGACATCGGCTGTACAAACGCAAACGCAAACATCTACTAGTGTAGTAACTTCGCAAACTTTGAATCCAAGTATACCAGCTACTGCACACAGTAATACAACTAATAGTTATATGAATAACCTTACAGTAAGTGATTTATTATTCGTAATAATGTCATAAAAATATATAAATATTTGTTGATCCTATACGTTATATAATAATATAAATATGTACTCTTGCAGGTACCACAAACTGTACAAGGACAACAGTGTGTGCAGAATAGTCAGAATGTGCATCAAACGCACGCAAAACAGCACAAAAATTATCAAAGTCATGGAAACCAGATATTGAATCCGTCCTCTGCCAATATGCAAATATTCTCACCACCAATTACCTCAGTAGCTACCCTGCAGGGCAACGCACAACAAATAACTCCAATCCAAACACAACAAACAGCAATGCAACAATCGACACAATGTCAAACTGATCCATTAGACATTAAGCCAAACATACAAATATCAAGTCCTGTTAAACAAGAACTATCTTCACCTATCCAAGTTCAAAGTGGGTCTCCTGCAGGCCAGGTAGCCTCACCGAGAATGATTGGCAAAGGACCACAGAGGATTCAAAGTCCAGTAAACAGTAATGGCAATTCAAATAAACAAATTGTCAGTCCCAACAGTAATACAAGTCCTTTAGTAAGTCCCAGACAAGGTGTAAAAAGGCCTGCGTCTAGCCCAATTTGCAGACAAATTAATCGTAGTGACTTGTAAGTATACTTTTTCATCCATATTTATTTACATAAGTAATGTTTAATGTATTTGTTGCATTTATGTTCTACTTACAAACATATTTAATACTTTTATATCTACAGGTTAGAACAACAACTAAAAATTGATCAAAACGGTGCGATAAATCCGGATGTGAACACACCATTTTTGAGCAAACGCGATGCTTGTAAGCGTCTTGTAAGATATCATTGTTTGAATGAACAAGTACTTAGTCCAAAGGATTTGGCAAAAGCTGACGAGATATTCGAAGAAACAGCGAAACATCTGTTAACAAAATTCAATTCTATGATGAACAAATACACGTACCTTCTTCTAATGGAAAGCATGGTATGTTACAGACTTTTTTTAAATAGATTATGAGATTTTGAAATGTATAAAATGGAAATATTAAAGCATATTGGAATTTTCATGTTTATAAATCTTTTATACACAACTATTTCCGAGATAATAGTATCAAATTATTCATATATTTCCCTGTGTATTTATTATGTGTACGGATACAATATTTATGGTAAACTGTTAACTGAAATTGACATATTACAGCGAGAAGTAAGGACATCAGAACTAATGATGATTGATAGAACTTTTGTTGCCGAAGAACAAAATATATTGAATAGGTTGCGAGAACAAGAGGCTAAAGTTAATGGTATATTTTTCTTATTACACATTTTAAGAAATGAATTCTTATTAGTATATTTCTTTTTATAATAATTTTTTTTTTCAGAAGAATTAAAAAAGGAAGAAAAGCCATTGGTGCCAAAGGTCGAACCTGGTCTTACAGAAGAAGACAAATTATCACCACCCTTAACTAATGTATCTGTAAAACGTGAATTAGAAGATGACTTTCCAAGTGACGAAATGGAATGTAAACCAGTGATTAAATCAGCAAGTTGTACTAGTGGTGATTACGACGAGTGGTTGGAAATTCAAAAGGAACTAGGTGTATATCCATCTACCACAGACTCGTTCAAATGTAAAAATAGTAGTAGTAATAGTGCATGTGCTGTGGCTGTAACAAAAACGTCGAAAACAGAAAGAACACGAGCGAACGGTGAATGTCGTACGAATGTACCCAGTGCGAGTGTTTCTGGAGTTCAAAACACAGTTGTAAAAGACAGTTGTGAACAAGATAATACTCCAATTTTTGAGAGACGTTGGAGTAGCGCTACAGACCTCGAACGAGATCTGTTAGAAGATACCGACAGCTTAGATGGACTGGCCTTACATTCTCAAACACAATGTCCAGGCTCTCTTCACATAAGTAATGAGAGTGGCACTGGTAATGAACACGATGATATTACCGCACAGGTACAATCTGCTATCGATAGCATTCTTAATCTTAAAAAACGTCCTACAAACACATTACCTGGCAGTAGTGGTAACAGTGCATCACAGTCCAGTGAATCGAAGGACACAGTGCTTGACCAAGCAGTCCGCAGCATTTTAGGCTCGTGACCCTCCTTTAATAAAGTATGTTAAACAAGTGAAGTTAACGGTGAACATCAAGCTAATTGTTCGTTTCGAAAATTTAAAAATGGACACTACACATTCATTTTGGTGATTTTTGTGATTAATGTGAATAATATGAAAACTATGTTTGACATTAAGAATGCAACATTGTTTTTTGGTAATGCATATCTAAAATCACGCAGATTGTTGCTAAATTATTTGTACAAAGTTCGTGCAGCCTTAATTTCATTTATACATATAAATTAAAACAGACTAACTGGATTATGCAATTTTACATATTTCTCCAAAGTTTTGTTCTGCAATGGCAATAACTATGCATAATATAAAAAATATGTATACTTTCCAGTAGTCTAGCTGTAATAAAGCCATCGCGTTTACCTAATTCTGGCAGCTGTACATGTGGATAGATAGACGGATAGATTGATAGATAGATAGTTAGATAATTAAATAGATAACTCGCTCAGATTTTTCAATCTGCCACTTTGTAATGTAATTTTGTAAAAAGTAATTATTTAAAACAACTTATTCCACTTTGTCTGTAGTACTTGTAGAGAAATCTTACGAATACTTAAAACTGGTTCGGTAAATTGTACATACGTTTTTAACGTGTATTATTAATATTATTATTGCTATTATTTGTATTATTGTTATTGAGATTCGCTCTCAGAATTATTATTGTATTATTATTATTAATATTATTATTATATTATAATTATTATTACTATTATTGTCAACGATACCATCAATCTCAATCAACGAGGAATGTATGGTGTAAAGAGAAAGTAGTGGTTTAAGAGACTGAAATGGAAGACAATGAAAAAGCATAGAAGGCAAATGATATATAAGGTGAAAAAAAGGGAACACAAAACCTCTATATTAATTTGAATTCATTTCTATTTAATGTATATGCAGTCTTAAATGTTAAAATGCAAAATCAAACGGGCAAACATTTTGTAGGTAGATTAATGTTTTACAACTTTTTTGTCATCACATAAAATCACAATAGATCTGGGTAAATGATGAGTACATGTGTAGAGAGCACATGTGTGGAAAAAGGGTAAACCCACATTGGTAACATTTTAAGCTAATGATAGATAAGCGGTGAATAAGATTTAAAAAGCAGATCTTTCTATATGTGCCTTTTTATTTTTTACATAGTTGATGATAATGTATCATGTATGTACACCTGACTCGTAACTTTGATTCACTCAGTGCTAACGTGTCAAATAATAACTGCAGATTTTTTAATCGGTAAATTATACATACGGAACTATGGTCTGAGTTAATCATTCTCTAAGTATCTTATGAATTACAAAAATAATTATTCATCACCGACAGTGCTTTTGCAAGAAGAATTTAGTTATGTGGTTGTATTTTTGCATCCTTTTCCCACATAAATTCATGATAGCTCTCTATACACAGAGGCAATGAAATGTTTTTGGCAAAAGCAATCCAAGACTGACGTATATACAGAGAATCAAGCAAAACTATGTAATGTATTACAATAAGAAATAATCATTTGTACATAATATTCAATTACACTCTCGACGGCAATCGTGACTTAATGAATTCTTCAAAGATTTAAAAATTTGGATATGCTAAAGTTTTTTTGATCCTAATAAATTGCCGATATTTCACGATTTCGTGTACGAAAATATTTTTATCCTTGTCTATGATAAGATTTTAATTTACAGCATGAAATTTGATTTTCAGTACTGACAATTCTCGGTGATAGTATAAAATGCCTGACGAGAGTGAAGTGGTTAATGCGATAAAATGTAATTATTATTATCAATTACATGATTTTAGATATCATTAACATATTGTAATGAACATATTCCTCCCCTAAAACAATATCATGGAATTATTAATATTCTATTGTAACTGCAAGTTTAGGTGCCTTGTGATCCAATGTTCAGTAAATTTTTTTATCCTATCAGGTATGCAGTATTTTAATACTACATAGGGGCACACAGAGTAATTGAATATTACACATAGTTCAACCAATTTATTATATTTTCGATATAACCGTATGCATTTGTAATATAATCAAGCATTATTAGTTGCATTATCTCTTCAAACAATATAATTTTCATGAACTTTTCTATCTTTAGCATTTGTTTAGGAAGATATTTTTTAACAAATGCTTGAATGTGCTTTATATGTCTGCCTTATATGAAATTGCATGTTTTGTGCGTGTATCCACATTTCAATTTATACCAAAGAATACAAAATTAATTCAAATTGAACCATCATAGGTATGAATGCCCGAAATTATAGCCTACACTTTTTCCACTTGTAGGTACACTATGACATCTGCTTTTTAATTAAATCAATTACTGCTTATAAAATATATAATTGTATAAGAAATTTATGTAGTGGAAACGAAATGCAGCAACAAATAACATGAAGCATTAGTGCATGTAAATTAGAAAAGAAATTAAGTACCTATGTCTAATTGTAAGAAATATGAAAACAGTGTTTTACATATTTTATGTTTACTGGAAATATATCATTCATTTCTGTAATTTTTAATTATAGTAAAAAAATATTTCAAAGGTAAGTTGAAAAAAATGTTATAGGTTGTAAATTAAATAAGTAAAGTGAACAAATTAGAAAAATTTGTAAATAAGAAGTACATTTTCGTTAAAACGATTTACTATTTAGTAACTCGCGAAAGAGGAATACAATACGCAACACATTCGTAAAGATTTCTCATCGATGGAAGATTCCTGTCGGGGATCTCCGTTGAAACAAATATTTATGTGAAAAATTGCCAAATTTCTAAAATTTAAAGATTTAAATAATTTTTCGTTTGAACCGTCATACGTGAACAGCATGTGGATGCGAATATAATGTATATGTGTATATAGATATATACCAATATACATATATACTTATGTATGTACTTCCGTCCATGCTGCGTGATTCCAATAACCTCTTGTAAAATTTACTTATGTGTAGAATACAGTGGCATATTTGTTACACGTACAAATGTACCTGTTTGTAAATAGTTTTTGTAATGTATAAAATTTAGTGCATGAAGTAAAATGATTTCGGAAATGAGTGTAAAAATTACTGAACACAAAATAAACGTTACTACCGTAGATGATCCTTACGAAGTGGAAAAATGCGGCAAGTGGATTGATGCATATAATTTAAATAAGGTTTGAATGATTTATCTATGTGATGGATATTTCATAATTTAAAATTGTATAATTAAAGTGTATGCAACATTTAATTTTCAACTCTATTCCCCGTCCTCAACAACATTAAAATACTCATTGTAAAGGTTATATACATCTGTCATCATACTTTTATTCAATAACACTTATAAATGCTATAATATTTTACAATAAATGAATGTATACTTATCAGTATATACAAACAGGCTTCTTTTGCAAATATGAAATATTTTTAGGTATGCTTACAATTTCCTGATAACCTGTTACCTGATTCTGTACAAATTGCATTACGTTTGGAAAATCGTATCAATAAGAAAGTATACATTTTGGGAGATACTTCTTGCGGTACTTGTTGCGTAGATGAAATATCAGCTCAACATATGAATGCAGATGGCATAATACATTTTGGACACGCTTGTTTAAATCCTACTACTCGGTTATCAGTATTTCATGTGTTACCAAAAACAGAAATTAACATGATAGAAGTTATTGACAAATTTACATCTCATTTTCAAGACACATGCAAAAGAATTTTATTTTTTTATAATGTTGCATATGCACATAAAATTGGTAAGTTCTATGACATTAAGAATATATCAAAGTTTGAATTAATTGATTTAAATGTTATTAGAAATACATTTTACTTACAGAAGGTATATACGAAGTGCTAAGTCCACTTTATAAAAATTTAATCTTTTCATCATTAAACTGTACTTCCAATGTGGAATTCACAGATGTTAAAGATAATATGTCTACAATAATCTTAGGCAGAAGCTTTAAATTAGAAAAAGGATATAAAATAGAAGATTATGAGGCATTTTTCCTTGGAAGTGGTGATAAAACATTCACCACATTAGAAATAACAATTCCTGCAAAAAAATGGTACTATTTTGAAAATAGTAGTATCACTGAATACCAAGCTTTAAGTACTCCATGGTTAAAAAGAAGAAGGTTTTTAATTGAGAAATTAAAAGATGCTAAAGTTGTTGGAATTGTTGTAGCCACATTAGGCATTAAAGATTACCTGAAAATATTATCAATGATTAAAAATATTCTTAAACAGAAAAATAAAAAATCTTATATTCTAAGTGTAGGTAAAGTGAATCCAATGAAACTTGCTAATTTTCCAGAGGTATGTAAATGGTAATAGTCGTAACTTTCACTTGAAACAACGGTAATATTTTGAAAACGTATTATACATTTACAGATTGATGTTTTTGTTATGATAACATGTCCTGAAAATGAAGTATTTGATTCTAGAGAATTTTTAAAACCAATACTTCTGCCTTATGAAGTAGAACTAGCATTTAATAGTTCGAGAGAATTGCACACGGAATATTATATGGATTTTAGACAAATACTTCCTGGAGGATTGAGTTATGTAGATTTTAAAGCATCAACAAATTCAGACATTTCATTAATTACTGGTAAACTTAGAGATTGTGATGAAAATCTGCCATGTACAGATAAAATGAATGCATTAGCAATTAAAGATTCAGGTACTTTATTTATATATTATAAAAATTAATCACTCAGTGAATATTCCTTCAATAATGTTATTTTAATTGAATTAGGTGTTGTTGCAATTGGAAAAGCAGGAGCTGAATTTTTACAGAATAGAGCATGGAAAGGGCTTGAACAAAGATTAGGAGAAGATACAGTACATTCAGCAGTAATTGGTCGATCTGGTTTACCAAGCAGTTATGATAGTGAACCTCTTTCTATACGAACAAACAACAATTGAACATAGTGTTATTGTTTGTAGGATTTCAGGCACGGTATCTTTATTTGACTAAACAAGTAAAAAATCGTTTAGTCTCTGAACAACTCATTAAATATAATAATTTTAATGTATAATTGATAATTTGAAATTGAAATCTTGAAATACAATGTATATAATTTTGTGCTTATACTAATGTATATTGTTTAATTTAAAGTCATTTCATTTATATAATTTTGTTTATATTATTACAAGTTCAACAAGTAGAACAATTCTTACAAATCTATGTATCGTTGTCAACACAGTGTATTTTTTTGACCGAACACGTGGCACATTTCGATGTAAACGCAAAGCGAGATATCGATATAATTCTACTTACATACATACATGTATGATCAGCTGTGCTCTTCTGTCATATCGCAATGCTAATACATGCCAGAAAAGTGTGTTGTGACTATCTTGTGATAATGTAAAGATATTTTTAAAAATGAATTTGTTCTACGTTGAAAGTTCAATTATTTGTATGATATTTATCGTTTTTGGTGCGTGTTCTGTGGTGTTAAATGCGGAAGAAACTTCTAACCTGAAACATGACAATGTCACGTTGGATAATAAGAACAGCACATTACAAATTGATACGCAGACAAATTTGAGTACCAATACGTCGATAGAAACAGATGCATCTGAAAAATCCGATAGCAGTAATTTGAAAATAAATCCTACTATATCAAACGTAATAGATGCTAAATCTCAAACTATATCTACAAGTACAGTTCGACTTGATCATGACGTTAATGATGAAACAACTGAAAAAGTTAATACAGTCACGACAAATATTATTAATGACCAAAATGGAACTGCTGTGCCAGATTTTGCAGTTACATCACAGAATTCAGATATCAGCAATGCAACAAATACGAGTACAACAACTATTACACCAGCAGAACCAGTATTGCCTGACAAAGGATCTGCGGAGGAAGAACACAACAGTTCTATGTCCATATTTTTTGTCCTTTGTGTCCTAGCCTTAGGCATTTTACTTATACACCTCATGCTACAAACAAACTTTCAATATTTACCTGAATCTGTAGTAATTGTCTTTTTGGGAGGAGCTATTGGTATGATTATAAATCTTATGTCAAATCAAAATATAGCTAATTGGAGGAAAGAAGAAGCCTTTTCTCCAACTGCTTTCTTTCTTGTACTCCTCCCACCTATCATATTTGAATCAGGATATAATTTGCACAAAGGAAACTTTTTTCAAAATATTGGAAGTATCTTAGTTTTTGCTATATTTGGTACAGCAATCTCAGCATTTGTCATTGGTGCTGGAATATATTTGTTAGGATTAGCTCAGGTAGCATATAAACTTAGTTTTGTTGAAAGTTTTGCATTCGGATCCTTAATATCTGCAGTAGATCCTGTTGCTACTGTAGCTATATTTCATGCCTTAGATGTGGATCCAGTATTGAACATGTTAGTTTTTGGAGAATCTATTTTAAATGATGCAATTTCTATTGTATTGACCACATCTGTATTGGAATCTAATAATGCATCAACAACTAGTGAAGCCATCATTCTTGGCTTAAATAGATTTTGCCTTATGTTTTTTGCTTCTGCGGGCATTGGAGTTGTCTTTGCTCTAATCAGTGCATTGTTACTTAAACATGTGGATCTTAGGAAAAATCCTTCTCTTGAATTTGGACTTATGCTGGTATTTACCTATGCACCATATGTATTAGCAGAAGGCATACAATTATCTGGTAATATTTTAAATGTTTAAATTTATTGTTACACTATTATAAAGAAATACATAGACAATTTAATTTTGTTTTAGGTATTATGGCCATTTTATTTAATGGGATTGTAATGTCACATTATACCCATTTTAATTTATCGACTGTTACTCAAATTACAATGCAACAGACTATGAGAACTTTAGCATTTATTGCTGAAACTTGTGTGTTTGCTTATTTGGGGTTAGCTTTGTTCAGCTTTAGACATCGGGTAAAATATTATTTACAGAATATTATCATTATTTTGTGTATATTGTATTTTTATACTGATTTTATTTCAATCACAGGTTGAACCAGCATTAATCGTATGGTCCATAATTCTCTGCCTTATTGGTAGAGCTGCAAACATCTTTCCCTTAGCTCTTCTTGTAAATCGTTTTCGAGAACATCAGATCACTAGAAAAATGATGTTTATAATGTGGTTTAGTGGTTTGCGTGGTGCCATTTCTTATGCTTTATCACTTCATTTGGATTTCAGTGATGAAACACGACACGTGATCATCACAACTACATTAATTATTGTATTATTCACAACATTAATATTTGGTGGTTCTACCATGCCTCTGTTAAAGTTCTTGAGAGCAGAAAAAAAACAAAAGAATAATAGTAGAAGAAAGAGAAAGGATAAAGAAGTTTCTTTAAGTAAAACTAGAGAATGGGTAAGTTCGTGTATATGTAAATCTATGTATGTAAATATAATAAAGATATTTAAAAATAATTCAAAAATATATGTATGTTTCATGTAGTATATTTTATTATAGGGTCAAACAATAGATTCCGAACACCTATCCGAGCTTACCGAAGAAGAGATTGAAGTATCTTTTCTCCAATCACGAATTCGTGGCTTCGCAAGATGGGATTTAAAGTTCTTCATTCCTTTCTTCACAAGGAGGTTTACCCAACAAGAATTGAAAGACTGTAAATCACAAATGACAGATCTGACAAATCAATGGTATCAGGCTATTCGAATAAGTCCTATGGAATCAGATGATGAAGTAACTACTGCTTCAACAGCACAACTAAATATAAATTTATCTGGGGATAGTAGGAATCAAGTTCATGGAAAACAAAACAAAGGACGTCCAAGTCACGGGTCTATATTAAGTATATAATTTATTATTGTGCGATATGCTAAGTGTGCTACCAATGCTGTGCTTATATGTGAACGTACATAAGCGTTTATTGATAGTAATGTTCACTATAATTTGAAGAGAATATTTTCTGTATGTATTTAAAAATCCGAGTTCGTCCAGTTTTCCTAATTTTTATTCAACTGAAACAGTATTCTACATGATACATGATAAGACAAAGAAATATACAAAGGATTATTTACAAAAAAAAATTGAGATACTATTGATAAGATAAAGAATTTGTTGGCTTTAGCAAATTGCTTAAAATTGTTGTGTGACTATAAAAATTTATCGACCACAATGGTTTGGTCTTTAAAATATTTGCTTTGCTCTGAGGGCTTGTTGTAGGTGGAGGACTGTATTTGAAATGCATTACGGTTCTGAATAATTAATCAATTTCTAATTAATTTACAGAACGGACGAGGATTGGTCTGACTAATAATCGAATTTGTAAACAATCTTTTAGTTGTCTCGTCAATTTAAAGTATTGTTGTATCAAAACGTATATGTTACATAAAAGTGTTACATTATTAGATATTAGCACAATATTATTAATGTGGAACTTATAAATGAGAAACAAGTTCTTACATTCTATCGAGAATTTAGTTCCTTCTTAGTTTATTAGAAATAATTATGTAATCTACTGAAGTGGAGACACGTGTGATATTCTTAAAAACATTTAAATTTCTGCACAAATATAACGTATATGTATAAGTCTTTATACACTAGTTATGCCGCATATGAAGCAAAATAAGTATTTATACAAAATGTAGGACTCAATGGCACTAAGAACTTAACGTTACAATGTGTGATTAATTTAGCTTCATTAAAATAATGTTTGCTCTTTAAATCCTTGCAAAATTATACGATATTTACGTGTATTATAATATTTCAGTTATTTTATATGTAGATCATACAATAAACATGTCATAATAGGATATTTACTAAGGTCTCTTTTAACAATTTTAGAGCATTAAATGTGTATTACTTAACATATCAGTCTATTATACGTTCGAATAGTACTTCGATAAAACTTCTATTCTTAAAGAAATTCTCATTTCGTGATTGAAATTTAATTTCATTCTTGTTATTAATCTTATATTTTCTTTTTATTATTATGTACAGAATTTGTAAATATCCTATTATACTATTAATATATTTTTATATAAAATTATTATCTTGTATATGTACGATACGTTTAATGCATTGCATAACAATTTTCAGAACATGAAAAGTGTTCTTTTCATTTGGATATGTTATATCCTACAGAAATTATATGTATCTTACATTTTAAATTGAATTAATTCGCACACTTATATAATATGTCAATACAGAATCTCTTCCTAATCTGACAAAAATAGTTCCGTTGCTTTTTATCAAAAGTTAATTATTCACAGGGAAGGGAAATGTCCTGTTGTTTTCTGCATTTCTCTCGTATCATATCAATTATGAAAGAAAGAATGAAAGCGGACGTAACTTCCTGTTTCCGTGCAGCGCAGCATTAGTCTATCATGTGAAACTGAATTACTGTAATTAATTGTAAACAAATATCTAACCGAAAATTAGCCAAAGTGGAATGTTTCTTTTAATTAATGTTAATTTATGATTTTAAAAGTAATATACGATTTTATACACCGTATAAAAATATCCATGATACATCTATAGACAATAAAAATGATATAGTTTTCATAATAAATTATTGATTCCGAAACGGAAGAACTTCTTTGTTGGATTGAGAAGCTATGATAACGGTGACAAGGAAAAGAAAGCTCATATTGCTCGTTTTATTTTACTGTGAATTTATTTTTGATATCATATATCGATCTCGGGACGTGGGTAAATGGGTCTGTTATCTTATTTTTCTGCGGCAGGGCACATAACGGAGGCAGCGTCTAAAACATCAAATCCGTTTATTTGTTCGACTCATTACCGCTACTTTTATTATGTTACGTTTTCTTTTTATGCCTCATCTGGTCGTACATCGAGTGACTGGAGCACGAGGCACGTTTTTTGTGAGAATATTTTTATAAATTACGATCTCTTGGGACTTCGCAACACACAATTTACAAACTATTGGTTTCCTCTTTTTCAAGGTACACCATGGTAATGTCGTATGAGATAGATTGCTTTTTCTTTCTTTTTTTTTTTACAAGGATTAGGGCACTTCTATTTTTCACGCTTCCAACTTTATTAAACGCAATTTCTTTTTTACCGATGGTTGTCGTTCAAATTCTATTTGGCCAACGTTAATATATCAACGAACGTTATTACCCTTTCTACTGGTACTGAAGTATTGTCTATAAGCACGTTAAGACACACTTGCCCCCCGTTCGTCGATGCTCCAGTCAATTTAAGTTACACACACATCCTCCGCACGAATGGTATTTGCGCATTGGGTTACCGTTTAATAACGTTCTAAAAATGATCATCACGTATTAAGAGCGTCTAGACGCGCTCTTATTGGATAGTTAATAATTCATATTAATGCTCAGTACGGTACATGGTGTGTATGTACAACATCGAGCGATCGGCTAAGCATGCACAGTTAAATGATCGCTATAACGCTACGACCAGTATGCCTATGTACCAATCTATAAGAGTAGAATATTACACTCCGATCTCATCAATTTATTACAGGACAGCTCCAATGGATTATAAACATCGACCGAATCGATCGTGTTACGCGTTGTGTATGTGTAATCCGTTGGAGCCGTATCACTCGCTCTCTCTCTCTCTCTCTCTCTCTCTCTCTCTCTCTCTCTCTCTCGAGCATTCGTCTAAATCGTCGACGTTTAATAATGCAGACACTCCGGTCTAAAAACGTGTAAAACCCCCCGAATATATTTTTCAATATTTACAGTATCTCATAGACGCGTGTCACACACACGCCGCAAGCTTACGTAATATAACTTGGTGTTCGGTTTGAAATCATTTCCTGTCCGCTGTTTTTTTTCCCTTTATTATTTTTTATCAAACGCTCAGAAACTGTCTTCTTTTCGCCGGTTTACTCGTTATCCTACCGTTCGTTTGAAATTTCGTTAATATTACAAAAGACATTTACTATGTATTCGTGGATCACGCGATATCTGATTTGGCTGCCACTTCTACACGTGTTTTCGCTTCGATAGTGGATACTGTCACGAGTACGTTAACAATTATTAGATCCAATTTAAGGGACAATAATCTCTTAGTGATTAGCTTTATCTCGGTAATGGTAGATTAGAAAAGAAGCGGCAGGTTTTTCGGATGATTCGGTTCGGCCTTATCTCTGGGAATGAAGTAGCCGTTCGTAATGGTACATCGGCAACTTCGCGCGATTCGTAAGCCGACACATCCGAATCCGGGTTTGTCATATGCTCGTTCGACGTATAATTTAATCCTACCAATCGAAACGTTAATCTCTCGACGGGTTTCGCATTTGGGTCCCTGTACAAACCATGTTTCCCCGAAATCGAGTTAATCTCTATCCGACCTTTGTGCTCACTATCATTCGCTTTCATTCATTGAGAGAAAAAAAAATGCGCATCGAGCTTTCAAGTTTTAATGCATATGAGTACAATTACTTGCTCGTATGCCAAAGGGGGGTGGGGAGAACGGGGCTCTCGTACATCAAGCTATACACATTTTTACTGTTACCGTTTGTTAATTTCATTCTAACTATCCTAACGCCAAGCAGCGAATCACACCTACATAAATTGTCGTTCGATTTACTCTATGTATATGTGTGTGTTAAATAAATAAATAAATATATATATTTATTTATTTATTTATTTATATATATATCGTCGGTATATATAATCGTTAATGTTCGGATACGCGATGGAATCGCGCCTTCTCGAAATCCGTTAATACACCGGTAATAAATATCGAAACCGATCGTATGTCGTACAAACACGACTCGATGTTGTATGATTGGTAGTTACCATTCGCCCACTGTAACACAATGTCCCTTTTCGTCGTCGATAACAATTAACATTCTATTATACATTCTCGTCGAAAGCGTAAAATTATTGTTGACGTACAGTCGCACGACGATCGGCAATTGATCAGTGTTAAGGACGGTCAGGCGAAAAGTTCGTTCTGTGCTCTTGTACCGTTGCCCATTCTTCTACGGATTTCACAGGCCGCGTTTCACAAAATAATGCCGGTATACCTACTATATAACTTCCGTTGTGTACTGTACAAATTCAACACGATTGCCATCGTCAGTCCTAGAAGAATAATTGCGGTGGGGTCGCATGGTAACACGAGAAAAGTTAGACGAGAATAGTTCGAAAGAAAGAGAAAACCATTTAAATCCATAAAATACAGTTGTTTTGTTGTGTCTTCGGTCAAATTTCGTTGATCGTAGTAGCACGGATAGAAGAGGCACTTTCCGCTTAGGGCAGTGCTGTCCACCATTAAGTTCTGGAATTTCCCCCCTGTTAATATATAGTGTGTAAAAGAAAACGCAACTATGTAAGGGGACCCATTTATGGACAGCACTAATTGCATTTATATACAAGAACAGAATGAAAGTCTACTGTAATCTCAACTGGTACTCGTTTTTATTTCTCTGCAGATATTAAAATCTCTCGGTATCTTTTTTTGAGTCTTAATTTGCAAATATCCCATTCAAAGTATACGTGATTTTTAGAACAATTTTGTTAAAAACATAGGTATTGATTTTTTAACCATTTCAATAAAGGTTATTCACATTTAAACTGTGAAATAATTATCCTCTTTTACCCGGAAGAAGTTCATTATCCATTTTAATGGAACACTATTTTTAGTAAGTATCCTTCGTATGCGTCTCCACTCTTGGTTTCGTACGAAATGTTTTCGGTTCAGTAATACCTTTTTTAATGAAAACGATCTTCAACTGGCAGGCGAAGCGAAACAGAACATTCGTTTGGAAGCATAAAATAGAATTCAACGGTACAAAATACGTTTGCAACGTCGAATGTCCAGTGAGCATACCGTTTCGCTTTCGTTATAAAATAGAAGACAAGTTATCGGGAGAGAGCTCAATAATCAGTCAACAGCTCGAAGTAAAGGTCGCGCAGAACTTAACATCACACATCCTTTGTATCCTTGTATCACGATATTTTTATGTTCGCCGAAATATCAGTCACGATCTAGAAACTCGCCTCCTTTCTTCGTAATTTTACATTATGTATATGTTATGCCTTAGCAATATAAAGAAACTTACAATAACTTGAACGAAAGTGTGTGCCACAATCAGTACCTCGGTCGTTATTCGAAATCAGACAGTGTATATGTCCTTTATGATGATTCTCACAATGAAATTCGATTAGGTAATAATTCTATTACAAATGTTCTCTCTTTTGAAACGTAACTTTATTGTTTATAATATTTGAACTATGCACTGTCTTATTCCGAATCATAATGATATTGTATTGGCTGTTCTACCAAGAATCTGGTGACCAACTCTTAATTATACTAACAATATGTCACTAACATATGTCTGCATACATTGAATTTGTACAAAGGTTCAGTTCCTTAAACACACGTTCCGGCGTATGTATAATGAGTATTATTTTTTTTAATTATCAACATAATAGTAGTAGTTATTATTATATCTTCTTGAATATTAATTAAGCACAAGGAAAGATCACAATGAAAAAACCTGCTATCACCAAATTCCGATTAATTTAAAATTAATAAAAATTTTAATGATCGTTCTAGTAGTAACATTGCGCCTGCTCTTGCTTGAAGTACATTATGAGTAGGTCCCATGACTCTTGGGATATTTGTTGATAAATTAAGTGACAAGTACGAAGGATAGTCCAACGATGACCGTGTAAAACAATAAAGTACTAAGAAAGTTTAATTTAAGATATCATTACTAAATGAAAAACATGATTTAACAAATTTATAAATACACAAATAGGCAGCCACTGTCGAGAGTGTTACAACCAGAAGCGTACCCAACTGCATACGGAATTTGGCGGAATGTAGCAAGCTCTTTCCTCATCAATGGTTCGAATTTTTCTCCCTCGCCGCTTGAAATTATCCGTACTACTAAATGAAGTACTAATCGGATGTAAATGATAATTCTATCAAATTATCAGCATTAAAAAAAAGATAAAAAAAAACTTTTCTGAATGACAACATTTTATAAGATACGTTCTTAATAATTTTGCATTCTATAACAATATATATATATTACAATTCGCTCGTGTATATTAAATATTAAATAATTTTATCGTGTGCGTTTTCAATAACAATGCACTCGTTATATGGAAATAAAACACTGTATATAATATGAAAGAACCTGACACCTGCAGGTCGTTGCTTCTTGTCACACTCTCGACTTATGATTATATCAGGATGGTAGAAGTTGAAGAATTTAAAAATAAAACGATAAAAAACACAATCACTTTTTGATTTGCAGCCACGGATGCTTCAGACACTCTGCTGCTGTCGCTCGCATTCTCGGGTCGAATTCAAGCATCGGAGTTAGGAACTCTTCAAACTCGCGTGCTTCTCTTGGTGACCATTCATATTTTTCTGTAAGCACCTCGTACAGTCCCCAAGGTTTCAATCCAGTAATATGCTTTAACTCGCCCTTCTTATTAAAGAATATTTTAGAGTTCTTGCCGGAAAGAGCAATCCGTATTGGTATTTCTCCAAGTAATTCAATAATATGTGCTAAATGGTCTTCATCTCTGCAAGAAATACATTTTATAACATAAATAAGTGGAACAGAAAATATTGAAATAAACAAAGGAGCAATGTTGCTTCTTACCTGCAATAATCTTTGCCACTATGCGGTTCAAAAAGATAGTCACCAGTTGCTAATTCAAATGCCATACAGGCAGTGGACCATATATCTGCTGAAGTATCATATCCCGATCCTAGTAACACTTCTAATGATCTGTACTGACGAGTTTGAATATCATCTGTGAATTTTTTGTGCACCCAACATGCATTTCCGAGGTCCGCTATTTTCACTTCAACATCACATTCCACTATAGCGGGATTTAAGGGAGCTATGGACGCTCGTTTCAATTGTTTACTGTCAGGTGGCTGCAAATTACGACCTGTAAAATAAATACCAATAAAATATAGTCATAAACATACCATTAATTAGTGTCATTTTCTGAACAAATTTTACCTTCGCTACACTCGTCTGTATCTTCATGGTCAGGTGGTAATACCCCTTCTCCGCAACTTTTTTCTACATCACATAAGTTTGCATTGTCCATCTTTTCAGATTGTTGAGGTAATTGATTCTCTACTTTCTCTCCACCCCCTAAACTATCCACACCGTTTATGTGCAATGAAGGTGCTGACGGTTCTGAAATGTCAGGTGAACCTTTGCTTTCAGTATTATCTTCTATACTTTCTGTATTTATATCCTGATCTGGACTATTTGTTTCTAATTCTCCATTTGTGTTATTTGCCACCACTTTATTTTGCTCCTCAAGTTCTTCAATCTGTTCAACTTGCTTCCTTAACAATTCATTTTGACGTTTAGCTTTCTTTTTGAGTTTCTTCTTTTTATTCTTTGACATTTTCGAATTAGGAATAGGTTCTTGAAATTCCTTTGGCGCAGTCGAAATTAGCGATACTGGTAATCTCATACCTAAAGAATGCAGTTCAATAGCTTCCCATGCTAACTTTCGTATATAAGCTTCATCGACACAAATAAGAACATTTTCAGGTTTAATATCTGTATGAATAATTTTACCTGAAAAAAGAAACGAATATTCTGAAATAACAATGCATTTCAATACTAATTTAATGTTGGAAAAATATTTGCTGAATGTAATTCGAAATACTTTCAATTCACATTTCACTAAAATAAGTTCCAATTTTTTATTTTGTCATACATTTACACAAATACTACTAATGAATATGAAACAAGTTTTTTTTTAAATTTGTCTTACATTTATTATGGAGGTAATCAAGACCTTCAAGTACTTGTCTGATGATACGTTTAACATTATTCCTTGGAATTCCTCTATAGTTGGATTTGATGATCAGTTTAAGGAGATTATGTCCAAGCACTTCAAATACCATGCAAACATGCAAACCATTAATGCCACTGATTTTGAAATCATTGAGCAACTGGACGGTTTTATTGCGTTTAGGATCACTTGGATCTGTGTCACGCACGTCTTTTAATAATTTAATTTCATCCAATGCAGTTTCAGTAAAATGGGATGCAGATTTCACCACTTTAAGTGCCACAAATCGTTTGTCCTGCAGAACATATTCAAGACATTCCCCTTGTTTACTTAATAATCATAAAAATATTTTGTTTTTCTCTGATTTATGTACATACTTGTAAATCCCAGCATAGCCAAACTGTTGAAAAATGGCCCCAACCAAGTTTACGAGTTACATGATAGCGATTTAAAAATAAATCTCCTATTTTGACTGGATGATATCCACCTTTGCAGTAATCACTGCTATCCTCTTGTTCTTCGTCCTCACTACTGTATACCTCATCATCATCTTCTATTGTTTCATTACTGGAGCTATGGCATGGTTCCACTCTATAAGTTTCATTTAAAGAAACAAATAAAAATAGCAAAAACATGAGTCTAAAATAAAAAAACTAAAATATTTAAATACATGAAAGGTAAAGTTTAAATTATATGCCAACTGTAATGCATTAAGAATATTTAGTCAATCATTTTGGTAAAGGATAGCTTTTTATTGTTTATGAATTTGTACTTAGGAATTATTCTGTAAGTTATTTGAATCTAGTTTGTAGCAGTTACATTTGTAAATCAACATTTTAAATTTAATCTTCTTAGAAAAAAAAAACAAGAAAATTACTAGTTCATACCTCCTTTAATTATTGAAAACCTTACAACTTTGTTTAATATTTCTTAAACATTATCAAACATGCTCCTTTTTATAAAGCGACTGGTTATAAGTAATGAAAATGATGTAATGTGGTCATAAAGTAGATCTCTGACAAACAGGTCATACTAAGACCACAAAATACAGAACTGTGAATACAACATTCTGCTTATTTGCCTCAAAAGAATAATACTAGCAATTAATAACAATTCTTTAACTAGCAGGAAAACTATGAATTTTAATTAGTATTTGCAGTATTGGTGTTTCTTTATACTTTTAAACAATCATTGATGCTGAAGTAGCCAGAAAAAAACTGAAATAGGGTTTAAACAGTTCATACCACCCTAGGGTAAAGCCAATAACCCTTCATATCCCATATTTCTATCAATACTTTTGTTCCAGTGTCAGAAACACGAGTACTGTAGCTCCTGCTTGATTTTATGATCATACTACATCTCTTCCAATAAGAGTAAATACTCTTAATATTCTGCACTGTGTATATATGCATTGAATTTTATAATTTAAACTCTGTTCTGTTCAAAAAGAGACTGTCCTGTATGTGATTAACGAAGGACAGACACATCTGCACGTTCCTTATTGTACCCAAAACAGTTCACCGACAACATTTTACCATCGTTAAACGGCAAAAAGAAACCAACAGAAAATTTTATAACGAGACATGTGTCAAACCGAAATTTGCTTAAATTACAAACTGTCAACAAGAGAGGTCAACGAAAAAATGAAATAACACATTAATAAAAGCTAGTCAGGTACCTCTTTCCGAGGTAGAAATCTGAACTTTGTTGATCTTGTCGAGCGGCTGATGTCTTCGAGCATTGAGCTCCTGGTGTATCTGATTCTCCCTGAGAATTTCCCTTTCCTTTACGTTTACTCGGCTTGTGCCTTTTTTTCTTGGCCTGAATCGCTAGGACCCGCCTGTTCACGTCCGTCTTCGCACTCATACCGTCCTTTATATCTCGATTTGTTGGCCCGTTTCTATCCTCTTTCTCTTTACACTTCCCACACTTGTTCCGTTTTCACTACCTTCCGTACAATTTTGTTGTTCTTTCACGTTTCAATACAGACACTTATATCCGTTTACACCTCGTCCCCAAGATTGTCTAGAAACGATATAATACGATTTTATTATCGTCTCATTTCTGCGTTGTGCCGCGCACTTCGCTCGGCGGTTGTTTGAGTATGGCCGCCCCCGCCGTCACCGTGTCTCTCCGGTTTCCCGTTTCGACCAGAGCAGGTGTCGTCTTGTACAAGTCCGTCGATGCGTTGTACTCTCCGACACGCTACAACCTTGCTTCTAGATCAAGTCGATCCCCTTCGTTCGCACTTGGTCTCGGTACTCGATACTCGATATCCTTGTCTATGCCGTAGTAGCAGACGAGGCTCGAATTCGGCCAAAGCCCTTGAATAAGAATTTTGTAGTTTCCGATGCTTCTCGCCGATTAGGGACTAAATGTGTACATCGATACGCAACCTGTCGAGTATTTTGTACCTGGCTTAAGGTTTTCCATAGCATACAAGGTATCCCAAAATAGCTTCGACTTCCAGAAATAAGGGGTTCCTAGGATGATTTGAAACAACTTTTTCCTTACTAAAAATGTTAATCGAGGCTTTGTTTACAAGATATTAGCGAAAAACCCCGACCAATCAGAGCGCGAGTCTGCCGGCCGAGCTTCTACGGTAACGTAAGCTACGCGCTGCGATTGGTAGCCGACGCTACCGCGGGAACTCGACCGGCAGACTCGTGCTAAGATTGGTCAGGGTTTTTCGTTAATATCTCGTTAACAAAATCTTAAATGACATTTTTGCCAAGGAAAAAGTTATTTCAAATCATCCCGGGAACCCCTCATTCTGGGGGTCGAAGCTATTTTGGAACACCCTCTGTATATAATAGACTGCGCGGTCTTATGGTAGGGCTGAAGTCGACATAAGAGAGAAAGGACAATAACTGGAGCTAGGGATAAATCAATACAAGTAAATACGAGTGCATTACTCGATACATTTGTTTCAATACCGAGTAAATGAACGCAACATATGTAACCCCATTTTTGGGGAATCAGGAGCAATCAAGAACCCCAACACCGTTGAATTGTCACTACCCAACGTTAACGATACCGCATGAATTGTGGGTATTATCAGGTGGAACGCCCTGACTGGACCCCAGAAAATCGGGCTAAAAAAATGTATTGGATGTTAGGTCTATCCTTGCATATCGTTTGTGGTGATAACTATAAAATCTGTTGTTAGGTAGCAGCAGAATAGGTGTGCATCATAATACGTAATGTCGTACTCTACTATACATTATGTGTTTTTGGTTATAACCAAAAAATATTTTTGTGTGTGACGTTTGATCACAGAAATCTTTTATGCTTGACCGACGTATAACGTAATTATTTCTTATTTAATGTCTGTGTATTTTACGCACTACGTTGGACAAATATTGACGAAATGGAAACAATATTTCACGAGAAGGTAAATAATAATAAGCGCAACAAAAAGTTAACGGTCTTTTCGTGTCTGTAGCATATTAATAAGACAATTTGTTATAGCAAGAAGGATATTTGTGCGCACAACATTGTTTAAATGCACTTTTACAAGGACCATACTTTAATGCAGTAGATCTTGCCAGTTTTGGACACGAACTGGATAAAGAGGAAAGAATGAGGATGGCAGAATCTGGTATTGATAGTGAAGATTACAAACTCTTCTTAGAGGTAAGTGTTTCTATATTTTAATTTCACTGTTTTCTTTCTGCTTTTATTTTATTTTATGTTACAGTGTACATTTAATTTGTTTAATAGATTCTAAACTCAAATGTTTTAGCTTAAGTCTAACTATCAATGAGTAAAATATAATGATAATTACACTATAGATCTTTATATATTTCTGGTATGTGATTTAGAATGGTTAGATTTAGAAGGCTGCAATAAAATAAAAGCATTAATCTTTATTTAATACCTTAATAAAACTGTAAGTATCAAAAGTACATTTCTTTTTAATTCTTAATTTTTCAAATTGAATAAATATCTAAAGTTTAACAAAAATACATGTTTGACCACCAATAAGTAGTTGTATTTCAGTTAAATACATTTTGTGTTCATGCAAGTAAAGAATGAATCAAAATATAGTCAAGCAAAGTGTCTAATGAATGTCAATTATACTTTTTAAAAACTCTACTAAACATAGCACAAGATTTTATGCACTAATAAATGTTAATATTATATGTAATAAAGAATATTAATTTGTTTATACAGCAACCATCAGGAAATATGGATGATAGTGGATACTTTTCAGTTCAAGTTATTAGCAGGGCATTGAAGGTTTTGGAATTAGAACTAGTCCCATATAATAGTACAGAATCAGCAGCTTTAATGGCACGGAAAGATCCTTCGTAGGTTATTACTCATTCATTCATACCTTCATTTCAGAAGTTTTTTAATGATTTTCCAATAAAAAGAAATAATAGAATATGTTCCATTATTAAAACGGATCATCAAGTTTATATTCATTCTCATTCTCATTACCATATAATAATTTATTCTTTATGTAAGTATATAGTAAAAAGGAGATGTGTTTTTTAGACAGATGAAAGCATATATTTGTAACTATAAAGGTCATTGGTTTACCATAAGAAAAATTGGGAAACAGTGGTTTAATCTAAATTCAATGTTGAGTGGACCACAACTTATATCAGATACTTATCTTGCAATGTATTTAGCTCAGTTGATACAAGAAGGTAAGTATAATATATATTGAAGACATCTGAATCGTAGTAATTACAGTATATTAAATACAAAATATACTTTTCAATAGGTTACTCTATCTTTATCGTTATTGGTACACTTCCTCAATGTACCGCAGATGATGTTCTTATGAGAAATCCAGTAGTAGCTGTACCAAAAGGAAAAGCTCCTTTAAAACCAGAATCAAAAGGTTATCGTTTGGGTACTAAGGAGGAGGATGAACTCTTAAAAGCTACGCTTGATTTAGGAGAAGTTAAAGTACCAAGTACATCTAATTTATTAAGAACTATAGATTCAACTGCGTATAGTAAAGCATCAACGTCTAAAGAAGAGATAATGGTGAATAAGCCACGAGAAAGGATAATTCCTATAAAAGTTGAAGGAAGAGAAGAAAACGATGATAAGAATATAGAGTTGCAAAGGGCACTGCAGTTAGATTTAGAAAATAATAAAGATGATATTGACGAGTCTCTTAAATTGAGATTAGATCTTCATAATGACAATAAAGCAACTCGTACAACAAATATATCTGATGACACAGATGACGATGATGATTTAAGAAGAGCTCTTCAACTGAGTTTAGAATGCGTCACTGCTCCACCAACACCTGAACCTGAAGATTTACGTTGGCGTCGATTAAATCATTTTGGTATATATTCAAGGCCATCAAGTACAGAAACATCTCAAAAACTGAATACTTAATATGTGCAAAAATTTTTTTTAACATTATTACCGTTACTATTATTACATTACTATTACTGTCATTATTATTAAAACATATTTTATTTGTAAATTATAAATAACTAGTTACTTTGTATACTACTAACAATAAAGATCCGAGAAGTAAATGTAAAAATAAAGCATACGTGTATGTTGAAACTACTGGTTTAATAATTATTGGAGTACCTAGTGTCTATTATTTTATCATTATTACCAATTCCTTTATCACATGAAAAACTGATTTCTGTTTTGAATTTACTAAAGAAATTATTTGTGTTTTTACTTTCAAGAAAATACTGTGAACCACAATTTTCTCAGGACACTTCAATACTATTGGATCAAAGTTTTCTGTTATGTATTCAAAAACACACTTCTCTTTTTATTTTCCAGTTTATTTTAACTTAACATTTTTTAAATACGTTGTATTCTTATTGGTCTTTGAATGCAAGATTTATATGTTTTTGCAAAGAATACAACGAACGAATACATTTTTTCGTTGCAATATTACCAGAAGGCTATGAACCGAGATTTTAACTGTAGCTGCTCTGTGGTTGCTCCTGTTTTGTATGTGAATGCTGAATGTTGACATTCAACATGGCGGCATGTCGTCAGTGCTGTGCTGTGTCGTGGTGAGTTTCATAAAACTTTCTAAAGCCGTTCGATTACAAGTTTTTTAACGAAACAATTAGATTCTGCAGGATTATTCATTCTCTGTGAAGCATATTCATATTCCATAAGTCCGTGGGAAACCGATAAATTTTTATGGATACTTAAAGAAACGAGCGATCTCATAAAAAAATTAGAATCTTATAACTGGCAAGCACGTATAATATATTGGATTTTTGTTTTGAACTATTCCGGAAATAAGTACTGTCGCCTGGAATTTGAAATGCACCACACGAAATTCGACAGAATGATACGCGTTTAGTTACGTTCCATATATACACTTGCAATGCTTACATCTTTACATATATTTCAAACATTTTCATGTGGGTGTTCAAGTAATCTATCTTAGTATAGTAACGCTCGAGAAGTATGATTTAAATCTTAAATCGACGACACTAATGCTTCCATTGGCTATATAACATCGGTAAACGAGATATATGGAGCACGAATAAAATCGAAAGAAACAAGTAAAAAAACATTGAGAAAACACTACCAGTTGGAGCACAAAAAGTCAATGTCAAACTGGCAGTCAATTATTACGAATATCTTGTTTATCTCATATAAAACCACAAATAGAATACAATAAATATATTGTGAATTATCTTATATACTTAAATATTCGTATCGCTATAAAGTGCAAAATATGTAATAACCTATACGTACAAATGAAACAGTAACTTCGGTAAAAATGTATTTTTTACTTGGTTTAAGTGGAAGAAAAGTTATGATCTGAAATTCAGAATATAAGACTGATATATAAAATGTTTCATAAATGGTACATATTTTTTAACTATATATAATTTTATGAAACAATTGATTGCATGTAATTGATTCGCTATGTGATTAAGTGAATTAGTTGCAAGTGCAACTGTAAATTTAATTACTGCAGGTACTTTTTTAACTGACAAATAAATACTATTTTCTAATTTTCTAGAATGTTACATTAGAAAGCTTGTGATCCTTTCTATTTGAATATGTATTAAGTTTTTATTGCAATAATTCTTGTTACTCTATACTAAAATGAATGTATTTGTTTTTTATTTCAGCTTGTGTAATTGTTAGTTTAGGACATTTTTGAAACCACGGCTCACTGTAAATTTCACAATTAAATGCTGAAGAAAGGAACGCTAATATAGAAATATTGGAACAACACAATCACACTCAGCACGCATTGAAGACATCTGAGGATTTTCAAGTCAACATTTATCCTTTAAATCTCCTATGTTTTTTAATTTACTCCTTTTATAAAGGATGACTGTTGTTTAAAAGGAAACACGGTTGTTCTATTGTATGCTAAATTGAGTAAATATCAAACACTTGTTATAACACTCATGCATTACATATGTGGAAAGTATCAATGGTCTATGATGTGCTAAGAATTTTGTACTTGTATTCATTCGTAAATCAACATTAACTAATATTGTTCATTTGTATATTGTGTACACAAGCTTTGTGAGAAAGAGTTAGGTAAGCCATAAAGTGCCCGTGACCGTGATTTTGATTGCGGCTGAGATTGTGCTGCTCTTGGTTAATAAAACACTTGTATTTGTATTTAAAAGGAGTGCCAATTTCGCACAGAGTTGCAGAGGTACTCGCTGATATATAATTTATGATAAATGTCAAAATACATTCAAAACCTTCCTTCCACTTCTTGGTCACAACAGAGCTGCATTTCTGCGGCATTTTAAAGAGCCTCTCTTCCTCCATATTAAGTTCTTGTAACATTATAATAGTGAACAAAGATATAAGGTACCAAGAACCGTTCTGTGATATCTATGTTAACACTTAAATAATTGAAAAGACTAAAAATTTCTAAATATAAGTATATATATATATTGTGGTGAAACGGAAGTGAACATAAAAAGAAATTAAGTAATTGTTTCAAAAGAAAAGGAATACTTATACGTAAAGATTACATTTAAAATTGTGCAAATTCGAAACTATGTCCAAGAATCCTCAGTGGAAAACGTTCCAGCCGCCAATCATGAACTCTGACCCTGCAATACTTGATTATAAGTCTATGGCTATACCGAGTCCCAAAGTTATCACGGGATCGCATCAATCAGCAACTCATATCTACCGAAATGGTACCAACTACAGCGGTGATCATTATATGACGGATTCACCTCCGGGAAGTGGAAAGAATAATATACACTATGCAGGTTACACCAATACTGAGCCATCACGTAATGAAGTCACCAGATTTCCTTTTGGAACATTTACTGAAATGGAAGGAAATCCTGGTTACACAAAAGAACCATTAACAAATAATTCCACTTATCAGGATCAGTCTGCTAACCAAGGGACACGAGAAACTGGAATAATTGAAAAATTATTAGTAAGAATCTCATTATCATAGGACACTTTACATTTTTGCACTTACACAATAAGTGCATTTTCTTCCATTCTTTTTTAGCATTCTTATGGATTTATACAGTGCTGTGAAAGACAAGCAAGGCTGTTCTTTCATTTTAGCCAATTTAGTGGTAACATAGAGCACTTAAAAATTGGAGATCCAGTTGAATTTGAAATGACTTATGACCGACGAACAGGGAAGCCAATTGCTAGTACAGTTAGTAAGATATCTCCGGAGGTGGTCAGTATATCATACATATTATATTTACATTTCTGAAATGGAACTGTACATAATTAAATATCTAAATTTATAAAATCTCGTAATTTAGGTGCTAAGCGAAGAACGAGTTACAGGAAACGTTACTACAGAATTACACGCGAGTGGTGATTCACAAGGGCGTATCAGTTACGAAAACAGAGGAGAATGTTTTTTTTTGCCATATACAAAGGATGATGTTGAAGGAAATGTTACTTTGCGTACTGGTGATAAAGTGTCATTTCAAATTGCTACTAATCAACGGTATATAATCTATATTTTTTTACTATATTTATCGAAACACAAATGTACAGAGTTAATACAATCCCTTGAATTTAATTGTAGTGGAAATCTGGGTGCATGTCATGTAAGATTGGAAAATCCAGCACATCCAATTCGCTATCGTGGAGTAGTATGCTCAATGAAGGAAAATTTTGGGTTTATTGAACGTGCTGATGTGGTTAAAGAGATTTTCTTCCACTTTAGCGAAACTAAATCTATGAAAGAAGAACTTCGACTAGGTGACGATGTTGAATTTATAATACAAACACGAAATGTAAGAGTGTATATTTATTTTATATAAAATTAACTGTCACTTTATTGTTTTAGTAAGTGAAATTCTGAATTCTTTTCAGGGCAAAGAGGTAGCTTGTAACATTACCAAATTACCACCTGGGTCTGTAGTATTTGAAGAAGTCTGCAATGAAATAGTAAAAGGGCAGGTATTAAAACCTCTAGAAAGGGGTAATGCGGCTCGTCATCAAAGTGATCCATTACCTGGAAGAATTCGTTATAGAGATTCAGATCATTTTGAAGTCGAAATTCCTTTTGGTGACAAAGATCAGAAAGGAGATTTTACTCTCAGGTACAAATAGTTATATCACCCGCATGAATGATTGTTTCATAGTTTATTGAAACGACTAAAAATTAGTATGTGTTTTTAGACATGGGGACTGGGTCCAATTTCGCATTGCTACAGATACTAGAGATCAACTCAAAAGAGCTACTGAAATATTGTTGTTACCTGAATCTTTTAATGTGTCTGGTGAGAGACGAGAACAAGGCCTTATTGCTGCACTCAAAGATGGATTTGGTTTCATTCGTTGTGTAGATCGCGACACGCGTCTATTCTTTCATTTCAACGAAGTTCTTGATGTTGATAGAGAAATTAGTGTTGGAGATGAAGTTGAATTTACAGTTATTCAAGTAAGCATAATTTTCTTCAGAAGTATATATTGAATATTATTTTAATCTTAATATGAATTATTACTGTTTTTCACAATAGGATCCATCTTCATCATTTTCGAATAATCGACAAAGTGCGATTAGGTTGAAACATTTACCAGCTGGTACGGTTCAGTTTGAAACAATCATAGACAAAGATTTACCAGGTACTATTGTTCAAGGCGTAAATGGCTTGGTGCCTGGTCTCATTGGATACATGAAAGAGAATCAACAAAAGAGTGTTATTTACTTTAGCAAAGATTGCGATCCAAAAAATATTCCAAAGTTAGGTGACAAGGTACATTATTATTTTTATTCATTGGGAGAACCAGTTTTGAATACACTGTTACTGAAGTTAGAGATTTATTTTAGGTTCAATTTAGTATTTGTCAAGTGAAACGAAATAAAGAACTTGTTGCTGTTGACATATCTCTAGTGAATTCTTCTGGTGAAAAAACTCAGAATGGCACCAAAAAGTTGAACAGTCAAGTTTGTCAGGGCTTCATTGCTGCTCTGAAAGATGGATTTGGTTTTATTGAGACTGTAAATCATGATAAAGAAATATTTTTTCACTTCAGGTAATAACTTTTACATAAATCAAGTCTTTTACTACACACTTGTAATACATATCTTTGTATTCTTTAGCAATTTCGAAGGAGATGTTAGTACTTTGGAAGTAGGAGCGGATATTGAGTGTACAATCACTTCCGGAAATGGTAGAGGTAACGGTGGTTGTGTTGCAGCGGATTACGTTAAATTGGTACCTCGTGGAAGCATTCCTAGGCCGACACCAGTTAGCGAAGTGCTTGATGGAACGGTAGTACGACCATTACGAAGTGCAAATCCTGATCAGGCAGAGTACGCCGGTTTGATAAAGATAAATGTTACTACTGAAGATGAAGATACCCCAGAATACGAGTTTAGAATTATGGGACTGGTCAATAAACGCGAGCTGTTACAAGCTGGTGACCCTGTACAGTTACAGGTGGACTCTGCAGGTCATGCTTGTAATATTGTAGCAGTTAGGAAAAAAAGAAGAGCAACGGTGGATGCAGTAAAAGGTCCTTTTGGTTTTCTTTCGTATGAGGTTGATGAGGGTAAGAAATTGTTCTTCCACATGAGCGAAGTTCGAGACCACGCAACACTTCAGCCAGGAGACCCGGTTGAATATGTTTTGATCACGAATCAACGTACCGGTAAATCGTCTGCATGCAATGTAACACGAATAAGGTAAATTATACATTTTTACGAATTATGTATCTTCTTGTATCAGTCTTATGAACTAATCTATTAATATCTGTTTATATATATACATATATATATTGCACAGCGATTCAGTCCAACAACGGCCCGAACGTTTGATCAGTCGATTACGTACTACATCTATGGAAGACACAGGTCCTAAATTAACAGTTGTTAGACAACCAAAGGGGCCAGACGGCACGCGTGGATTTAGTCAGGAAAGAACCCAGCATACCCCTGGTGCCATCCAAGAGTAATGTCGTATCGAAACGGTTAATGCTTATCCAAATTGTAATCTACATTACTTGTTTTTAGTCTATACACTTCGGTACCGAGATTATTATTATTATAAGCATGATCGTAAACATTTGCCAAATTGAGACTAATGTGACAACAATAATAATATTGATAATAATCGATTGGATTATGATCTTGTTGAGAAAAAGGAGAATATAAAATTAAAAAAACAACGAGTCATTTTATCATCTTATAAAGTATGAAAATAATTAGGGGGGCAGTTTGTCTGAACTATTTAATTTTACTAAAAAAAACTGTTGAAAATCTTGTTTCATTTTGTAACATCGCATAATAGATTTTCTGAAGAGTAAAATAATAGTTGTGAAATGTTATTGATCCTTTTAATTGCCAAATATTTTTCTCTATAAAAATTTGACAAACGTTTCCTTCCTTCAGTTTATTATAAGTACAGGATATAGATTGGAAAATAATTTAATATTGAGCCGTTGACAACCTGCCTGTTTGTAATGTTCGAAGATAATGTCTCATCTGTCTTTATAAGAATATACGTACATGTTGATACAACATTTATTTATATTATTTTCTTTAGAGTATTTGTTTTACCTATAATGTAAACTACAATCAGTTTGAAATGTACAATAGACGAAAACGAAGTCACATGCAAAATGCATCATATATATATTATATATAAAAATACTGATTGGCTGTATAATCAAAAGAGAAGAAAAAAATGTATCCGCATCACTTGCTGAAACTTGTGAATTTAAATAATTTTTTAGTGGAAGGAGCAGACATGTGTTTTATTATATGAATCATTGTAACGTGTCACTCTATTGAAAAAAAGTATCTATGAATCTGTAAAAAAAACAGTTACAACTGGCCAATTGTTTGTCCTAGATAATATATAATATATAAATATATGTACATGCCGTTAAGTTCCTGATGCAGTCTCGTGTTGTAAAATCAAACTAGTATTACGGATTCAGTCGATATATAATGCAAAAACAAAAAAATGACAAAAAAGTACTTATGCGAAGAGTAACAGAATCGAATTTTATAAGTTTTGCCATCAGAAACAGCAAGCGAGGTACACGTGGCATTATGTAGAAATAGATGAAAGGAGTAAAAATAAGAACAAAGTCATAACACAAGCACGGTACAAACTAATCGTTTGTCTGACAACTCATGGATCCAACACATCATGTGCATACATATTGTAAAATTATTGATGAATAAACAGTGGAAATATCAACTGTACCTCTCTTTTTAATCACAGAATTCAAATAGTGTAGAAATCATGTTTTCTTGAAAGTATTGTAGTAAATACGTGTCATTGACATTTGTCATATATCTACATTGACAATTTGTAATAAAAATTTACAAATTATAATCTACAAGAATATTATGATATATACAATATGTATTTATTATGTATGTACACAGATGTGGAAATTGTCACAAAACGTGTTTATTTTCTGTATTTAATAGTGAATGTATTTGATTTGGAATAGATAAGAATAAGAAAAATTGTAAATCAGATCACAACGCATTCATATGGGAAAGGTCCTCGGAGACGTAGATAGCTCAGTCCCGGACAAGCTGAAATAACACAATTATCATTTTATTAAACGGACTTTTTCCAACAATATTTCTATTTACTACAGTCATTAAAATTTCACTTTGTTATTTAACTCTAGGTAATCATATATCAAGACTATTACTTGGGTGATTGAAAATGTCATATTCGTGATTACTTTGGGAATTGAATGTAACCAAATATGAGACTGCAAATTATAAATATAGTTATTAATTATCTTTGATCGATAACAATAGTTACTAACGTGTTTCGCATAATGGCCCATAATAACCAGTTCCTTCGCAACGGCATTTAAATCCAGGCTCCGACGATATTTGCAAGCAAGACCCACCGTTCAAACAAGGTAATCTATAGCATGTATCGCTACGCTTGCCTGGAAAAATAATTACAGAATAATACAAAATTAAACGAAAAAAAAAACTGGTGCAAGAGTATAATAAACTGAACCACAATTGCTCGTTAAGTTCACGTTAATGCAATTTACAGGTATGTCATTACCTCTTAACGCTTCTTTACAATCCTCATTATTATTATATCTATATTCCGAAGAACAACCATAACCGCATCTGCATTGTGCATTATAGATGCGACATCCATATTGCATTTGATCCAAATCGCAAGCTCGCGACAGTGTGCTTATAGCTAAAATAAAAAGTAATGATGAAGTAATGATATTTATAAAATACTGAAATTAATTTAAAAATGTGGAATCTTATATTTCTAAAAATGCAAATAACAATAATTACTATAATGATTAATTAATAATGACAGTTATTTTGCAATAAATAGAAATATTTTTTATAAAATTCTATTTACATTAATAATTAAAATATATCGATTTATCATATTTATATACTGTTACATATTCATCACAAAAGCAATGATAAACGCTTAATTACCTTGTTTTAAGATTAAATAACGATAGCGCAAAAGGAGCGCCGCATTTATCAATAGATGACAAATTATGCAAAATCAACAACGACAATATTATGTAGATGCATAAGAGATATTCAAGGGACAAATCACGGTCTCAAATTTTCTGCAAAGCTTTCCAAGCGAACGTTACATACGCAGTGAACGTATCTGTAGTTTATTTACCCTGAAGAGATAATGCTACGAAGAGACATGCTGCCTCAGGCAACTATTTCTACCGGATGTGTCCGCTGCACTTCCCACTTGTTTAAATTGATAAATGTTTAAGGAGATAAAGCCATGTCTGCGTGGGTTAATTGATTTTTCGAATGTAAAATCTTTACTATCGTCATTAATATTCATATAGAATGGAAGCAATACGAAGAAACACGGAATGTGCATCTATAAAAGTACGCTTCTTTATCGTACCGCTTTATCTGAGTGTACTCGGTAAATGAACCAAGATGTTCCTTTCAAACGAACGTTCAATATTTATTTTACTCTAACCGAATTATCTACCGAAACAAAATAATCAATAATATTATAAAGAGAAACAAATATCCTTGCGATTAATTTAGATATTTTAATATCCTATAAAATATAGATATCTTTAACTTAATTATCTCGTTCGTTCAAAATGTTCATACAAAGACACGGGCAAATTAAATCGATGAATGAACAAAGTCTTATTATTTTCTTAACACTTCGCTAACACTGTGACCTGCAGTGGGCCAATACGTAAGCCACACGTAAGTCTAAATACGCTTTTCAAAACTATTACAATTTTTATATTCTAACATCTATCATTCAGAAACGTTTGAGAAATGGAAGTTTCATATATTAACAAAGTTTAATGTAAAGTATGTAACATTATGTCCATGCAAAGCTTATTTTTACGTGTTCCGTGAGCGAAGTGCGAGGAATATGAAGAATGATCGAGCATGTCGATATTTTTGAATGTATGAAACGCAAGGCGCAAGGAACGTGTTCATACCTACAGTTACAATTATCAGAATTAGTGGCGGTACCAATCTTGGTAACATGGTGGGCTTAAAGAGGTCTCACACGGAATCCGGACGAGAAGTCCCGATAATGATAATCCGGCTGATTGTTGAGTTCAAAAACGAAGATCGACGACCGGCGCGCCTGCAGATAGGCTTTTCCTGATCTCGGCGGGGTCAGAGGTCGACCGTTTGAAGGGGCTTCGCGTCTCACACCATGCACTATCGTCGGAAGGAAATTCGTGCTTACTGCTCGTGCTCGTCGAACGGACGATACACACTGATACACACTGAGCGCGCTGACCGAACTGAACTGTTGACTCCGGGCAGCTGGAGGCAATTGCCCCTCGACGACGGTTAACTAAATACAGACTAACGCGCTTAGCTAGGATGTCACCAGAGACCAAGAAACCATGCGTGGGGTGGTTAATCAGTCGGTGACTACCACATACCATCAATGTCTTTTAACAGCCTGCTTGGAACTGTAATGTCCTATTGTTCGCGTATACGATGGCTTGCTACTGCATATTATTAAAATTGTTGAGCTGTTCAGAATGTTAATTGCATTTTTGAGGGTACAATCTCGCGATCCATAGTTTTTAATTTGTAACATATTATGTTCTACTTCCTTTTACAATTTTTTCCCATTTTTGGAATGATTTCGTTAGTTCGTTATAAATTAGATAACATTTCTGTTTTTTTGTTAATAAAGAATCTCCCCGATATCTAAATAAATGCAATGGTCCGATAAGGGCAATATCTAGAAAATCGGGTGAATGCTATAAAAGTTCCTAGTCAAAGTAGTGTGGTTGATGTATAATTAACATATGTAAAGTACAGCAGGTTTATCAATCTGTGGCATATTTTTTTTTCAACGATTCGTACAGTTTACTTGTACATCTTTATATTTCATTTTTAAGTAAAAACGTAATATGGTTACTTTATGAAGATATTGAGATATATACTGAAATGTCTGAAGTCTGAAGTGTTATATGACACTGGATCAGCCCTCATTTATCATGTGACCCACCATATATTTTCTCGAACGGACCACATGGTCGACAGTAAAGTTCTAAGGTTTAGAAATAACTGGAGTTCATATTCGAAATTTCTATTCTGTACGTGTGTATGTAGTGGACAGCAAATCCTTACTATTCTAGAACTTCTGAACGTTTATTATACTTTTATAATTTTTTGTATTTGTGTTAAGTACATTTTCAGTATTACTAAATGGAATATTTTCATTTTTTAAACATTCTTGGTAAATTTAATGGAAATAACACTGTTGAACGATTGGGGGGAAGCATATTATCACATTTTAAAATTCGATAACATTTGACATTACGGTCATAATGCCGGAAGTAGACGTGGCGCGCACCGTCGAATATGCAGAATTTGTTTGCGCAATTTTCTTACAAAACCTTTTCTCTGCAAGATAACAGAAAGCTGTGCTGGACACGTAATGCTAATCATTGAATTTTATGTGTAGTTCGAGATTGTGATAGCAATATCATAATAGAACGAATAATTGGGTCAAGGAAGTTTATTAATTATAATAATAATTTATTGGCAAAAGTGTAATAATCTTTAGATTCTTGGACGGATTATAAATGTTTTAAGGCACTTTGTTTACATTATACATCTAAATTTGAGTATTAGTACCCTGAATAATTAACAAATACTTTACAAACTTAACTTGAAGTTTGAATATAACTATCATTTTCTTTAGGTATACAAAAATTTATAGCTGATACTTCATATAAAAATTCATAATCAGTGTCTTCAATGGCAAATCTTCTTTCTGATGTTATATTCTAAAAAGGAATATTTATATAGAATATAGTTTTCTGTTAAATACAAGAACTGACATGGTTATTGTTAGTACCTTACATGAATGTTTGGTCATGTTGTTCGTGGATCATTGTTGCTCTTCGAGACTGAACCATACCACCTTGTCTATTATATAATTCTCGCACCAAATTATCCTTTTCTTGTTCAAGTATCACTATTCGTTGGCTTTTTTTGCTAACTTCCTATGTTACAATTTTTATAAAACATTAATATTTATTTAGTATTGTATATTTACTTTTATTCACTCACTTCTGTTAGTCGGTGATTTTGTTGCTTGAGCCTAGAAAGCATATCTTGTTGAAGTTGTGTAGATGTTGGAGTACTAAGAAAGGCAAGATTCATATGTAGAGGAAGACCCCCATGTTCCCAGCTACTTATCAATGCAGAAAGGTGTCTATTGACTTCCAACACCCGAGCACGTTGTAGTTCCAGACGTTCCTGCTGTGCTTCTGTCCATTGCTCCTAAAAAAAGGAGGTAAATTGTCAGTGAAACATATATAATGTAATGTTATAAAACATAACTAGAAAATCTGTATACCACATGAGATCCCATACGTCCAAGATGTTTTATCTTTTCTTGAGTAGCAGATATTTGTTTCAAATACCATTCCCTAGCTTTATCAACTGCAGCTAGACCCTGAAGTAATACATCTTTCTCTTGCTCAATTTGTTTCATTCTTTTCATCTAAAAATAAAAGCAGAATGAAATAACTTTTTGTTTAACGAAAATTGAAACACAGGTTTCCCAACTATCCAATCTATAAGAATGTTGCATAGAATTATGTACATTAGAAGCTAACTAATATTTGATAAAAGTTACACAGTTATGTGGTATGTTAATAGTTATTATATTTCATGCAAACCCACAACCGATCACCAATTGTTAGTTGGGAATCCTAGAGGAGAACATCTTTACCATATTATAATCAATACCATTCTGCAACGTATGACGTCTAGGTTCTCTACGGCGATTTAGTGGTTTTTTAAGTTGAAAACCAATTTGATTATTTTGTAAGTCAACTGCTTTACCATCTCCCAATACCCGAGTTGGTCTTAATAACGTTCTTGTATCTGGTCTACAATTTACTGCTGACAATTGTCGTTTCTCTATAGTTTTATCATCATTCATTAATAAACCCATTTGCCAATTCTGTAATACTGTTCGAATTTCAGACTTGTCAAAATTTCTATCGGTGTTAATAATTCTAGCTTCTAATGCAGCTCCAGTCCTAGGAGGTTTTGGGGGTCCATATGCTTTGTTTAGTTTTGATTCTGCTCCATTTCTACTATCCGTTAATTCTAACTGTGCATTGGCATCTTTACGACCTGCTAATAACTGTGGCATACTTAAGGTTCGCTGTTGAGATATGGCATTATTTGGTCTTATAGTTGCTGTATTCGGAGATGTCCATGTTGCCTTAGTTTGACTATCTGGAATAAGAATTGGTGCAGACGGTGGTCTATTTGGTTGGCCACCATGTTTTTTGGAATCAGACTCTGCTTGAATTTGTAGTAGACAGATTTTGAGCCCTGTGCAAAACCTTTCGAAAGATAACAAACCATTGGATGGTGTAACTTTTTTAAGACTGTCTAAAACACCTTTTGGAAGACCTTGTGTTCCATCATCTTGCCATCTACCTTCAATGTCCGAAAATTTGACAAACCCTGTATTTTGATCATCCATTATATCAAAAAGCGTACGCATGGCACTGACAAAATGTTTTGGCAGCCCATCAGCGCCTGAAGTTTGTATTTGCGCCATGTTTATATACAAGAGTGCTTAAAGTATGGTTATTAAAGCCACATATAATCGTTTAAATATTTTACAATTATACGTTATCTTTCTAACGCTGGAAGATGTTCCATTGTTTCTTTCATGAATCGTTTTTCGAATTAATCGTTTACTTATAATTAGCCATTGTTAATTGATCATTGTTTTATTCACCTGACAGGTGTTTCTTCCTATACGGGACATTTATTAACACATATTATTAAATTATCAACTAAATTATCCCTTATAGATTTGACTACGTTCAACATTTTTTGAATACATTTTTCTATCAATTTTTTGTTAATAACTCCAATCTTCTTTTTCAAATAACCTCATTGAACTTGTAATTGTATGCACAACAGATGGAACAGGTGTATCGAACGGTTATGAAGGTACATAACTAGAACTTACTATAGTTATTTTGCTCATAAAAACAGTTTTCAAAGACTGACCTTCTTAGATTAAATGTTTAAAAAACGTATGTACAGAAAAATAACATATTAAATTATTCTATGAAAGATACGCGATTCCGATATAAATATATCAATTTTATTAAATATAATAAATAAACAAAATTTTCCAAATTTATTCGAAATTGGTTGAAAGAATCAAGTGCGAAGTAATAATACATAAACACTTAACGTAATAAACCTAGTCAGCCAAACCTGCAAAGTCAAATTTTGTCCAAAGCTTGTTATAATATTATGTATTCAATATGGCTACAAGTTTGATGCAAGATCTGCTATCAATAACTTGCACGGAAATTGGCAGCAGATTAGCAGCATGTCTTGCAATATAGCCTAGGTTATGAATTGACCTATGTTAGTTAGCCTAGGTTGTGTTGCAGGACTTGCTGCTAATTTGCTGTCAACTTGCTTTATCATTTTGTCAGCAGGCTTTGCCAGAAAAACTCAAGTCAAATGTGGAAACAGATAGCTATGGTTTTTTAGACAAATTATGTCATTGTCTGTTGGCAGTATGCTCGAAACTTGCATACAACTGGTTATCAGGGAAGTAAAATGTATTTTATAGTAAGTAAATGTACTTTTAATGTTAATGAATAAGTATATTTAATGTTATTTGCAAAATAATTTGAAAAAAACCCGTTAATCTAATAAAGCTGTTGAATATACAAGTAATGCATTCTACTTCATCTCAAATTTATTTCCTTTATACATAATGTAGCTATGTAACGATATTCTAATTAGGCTCTCTACAAGCATAAATATTTTACGTACGCGTATTGCATATACATACTATGTACCTATAACACATTTTTGAGCCATGATCTAACGAATGATTAGCATTACATTCCATAATAATATATTTAGTTCATTTCATGTTGAACGATTTTTAAACGCCCCAGTCAGCCAAAAACCTGCAAACCCAAATTTTGTCCAATGCCTGTTATAAAGTTATGACTACAAGTTTGATGCAAGATTTGCTACAAACCACTTGCGCGTACATTAGCAGTAACATATGCCGCAAATTGGCTTGCGCAAACCTTGTTGCGGTTTTTCCCTCAATTTGACATAGGTCATGTTGCAAGACTAAAGCCAATTGCTAAGCAAATTTGCTTTACCATTTTGTAATCTGGCATTGCCTGCAAAACCCAAGTCAAATGCGAAAACAGATGGCTATGGTTTTTTTAGACAACTTTTGTCATTTATTGTTGGCGATTTGCTCGAAACTTGTACACAACTGGCTAATAGGGGCAGATAACATTTACAGACATTACGTTCTAGAGCTAATAACAATATACAATATGCGTTACATATCATCAGTCACTTATAGAAGAAAAAAGACTTTTAATCTTGCGTCGCGATTGTGTTACCATTGGGCACATATTCCGGGTTTTGATCCTGCACGGTTTTTTGTGGCGTCTCAATGTTAGGACTTTTATCGATATCGCTGTCGGAGGATGAAGTGTCTTGAGGTAAATCAATACCGCGAGTTAAGAGGCTGGTTATTCTTTCAACGTCCACCGTATTATCCTGCTCGTGTATTTTCCTCAAAGCGTTCGAAACGATACAAAGATCGCCCCTGAGTTCACTGACCACTGCGGTGATCTTTTGAGCATCCGTAAGGACTTCCACAGACTGTGTATAGGGATTATAACGTAATCCGAATGGGCGTTTTATTTGGCCTGCAAACGACCTGAGAACGTACAATTATATGATTTTAAATTTTATGTTTTCAAATGATAACAATACTTCTCTATTATGTAATGTTCTATCAATTCTTCGTATAGTAGCTACAAAGTTCATTAAATATCTAGTGTTGACTAAAATAGATGTCAGAAATATTCGAAGTATTGAGGATTAATGATTTTTTGCTTGTTAACATAATATAGTAATTTTTCGCGAATATTTTTCAACGAGTAATTTATAAAATATGTAACTCAAGAAGAAAGTATCTTTGTATTTACTTTTGTTTAATGCTTTTCATCTTTAATGTTAGTGAAATGTGTTGATGAAGTTTATTTGAGTTGGCTGTAGACGTCGGGAACAATGTGTCACTAGGTATATATGTGATATGAAGAATATATTCATTTCAATGGAGTCAGTTGATAAACTAATGATCAAAAGAATGAAACATTATATCATATCTAGATGTTGCATATAATATGTATAACGGATTCATTACGAGGAGATTTCTTGTATACAGCATAAGGAGCCATACAGAACTTTCTTTAATAAGAATATATAGTAGAATAGTGCAAGAATATAAAGAAATTTATTAATCATTTAAATAACGAGCCTATTACATTGGATATAATGCAATGTTTCTCTAGCATTTGAGAATTAAATTTTTTTATAACTTATTCTCTGATTTCACCAGATTGTAAACTGACGCCATTAACCCTTTCGATACGGCCATATCTGCCGCGAAACGTATGTATACTTTGGAACAATATAAAAGTTTGCAACGCTCCCGTACGTTTAGATATTAAATTATAAGTAATCTTTAAATAAGACGACAGACGCTTAGTGGACGTTTAATCGCAATAAAATTTAATATTAAATCAATACATCAGTAATTTAGAAACTGTTTAATATTGTACAGGGCAGTTATTTCATGGCGAGCGACTATAGTCGCCCATAATATCGAAAGGGTTAAATGAAATGTCACTTAAAACGGATGTTCACGAAGTGATACGCGTCGATTCTTCTGTAACTTTGCTCAATTGTTTATCGGAACAACCTAAAAATTTTTCCGTACCTGGTTGGTGCTATTTTTAGACTTCGAGGGAGAAAACCATACTTTTTATGCGAAGCGTCCTTTTTACTTCTCCGCTTGTAATACGTAAACTACAAACGATATCGATAAAAAGTGTAGATAAATTTTATAACGGTTTTAGTTGTCCATATATCGGTAGGAAGGAATTTCCAAAAAAATACTTGGTTTCGATATTTTTTTTGAAAATGTTTGTTTCTGAAAATTTGTATTCCTACCTATATAGTATATAGATATAAGATATATAGACAACTAAAAACGATATAAAATTTATCTAAACTTTCTGTTGATATCTTTTGTAGTTTATTAGCTCTGTACAAGCGAATACGTAAACGGACGCTTCGGGTAAGATGAGTGGTTTCTCCCTTAAAGTCTAGAAACAGCACCAACCAGGTACGGCAAAATTCTTGGGTTGGTCCAATAAACAATTGAGCAATGTTACAGAAGAATCGGCGTGTATCACTTCGCGAACATCCCTTGTCAGTTAGCAGACCAGACACGAACATACCGCATTTTCTCTTTTGCCTCCTCGAAGCTGTCCGTGTAATAATACGCGTTCTGGAACGCGGTGATGATACACTCCTGTCTGCAGGTGATGTCCGGTTCGAAACGAAACGTTTTCTCGGGGGCGGAGATCGCGTGTTTCAGTTCCGCAACGGACGACAACAATCCAGCCCCGTAAACACGAAGCACGCCGTCCTGTTTGCACAGACCGAACTCCACAGTGAAGAAGTACAGCTACAATGAAACGAACGAGAAAAAGATAGGGAGAAATACATCGTAAACGGAGCGTTCCCCACCGTTCCCGAAGCTTGAAATAAATTTTCATGAAGTTTTAATGAAACCGAGGAACTATCTCGGGTACGATACACTCACTGTTGCCAATTTATTGATGTCCTCGTCCGAAGCACCTAAGGAAGCGAGTCCAAGTTCTTGGGAAAATTGAGCGAAACTTGGATTCGCCAAGAGCGGCATGTGTCCTAACAGTTCGTGACAGCAGTCCCTGTGAATGACAAAAGAAAATCTGATGAAATGATCGATTGAAAGAATTGGGAGGGATTTATATGTAATTAATGCGAAAGGTAATTAATGATGATTTTAAAGATTTTAACCCTTAACTGGTGAGGAACCCCATGAATATTTTCGTAATATTTTATTCTTATTTAATAGTTATTAACGAGATGTTTGCTTATTTTGATGTTTTCTGACATGAGAATGCAAAACAACTAGTTGTAGAATAAGTAATAAGAATTGTGTAACAAGTAACGAGTATAGTCTATATATCCTCGATGAATATTCGAATGCTCCTAGGCACTGACAAGGAGAGGTCCTCAGGTGTAACGCTGACTTTTTAATGAGGTTTTGCACAATGATAGAGCTTGGAATTCTGAAGGCAATCATATTTGTTTCAGTCGCATATGGCCAGTTGCATTATGAAATACTTAATGTTCAGTGTCGAGAAGTTTTCGAACATTCATCGTGGATTTACTGTAATACGATGTTCACTTCACCAGTTAAGGGTTAAAGAACGAGTGTATTTGAAACGAGAATATTTAAAATACAGTTTATAATATAATTCATTAATTCGATATTTTCATGATCTGACGAATAAGTATTCCTTTAATAATTGCTTACGGCTCGGGTGTGTAAAACGGATCAGACGAGTGTCGAATGTATTGCGTGCAATGGAATACACGGAAAGCAAGTCCCGCTAAAAAGTCCCTTGGGGAGAGATAGCCAGCCACAGGTCGAAGTTGGAATCCGGTTGTTCCTTTGTTATTAACAAATTATCAACAATTAAGTAGTAACAATTATAAGCAATTAATCATTGTTAATCGTTAGATTGTGAAGAAAATTATAATTTCACACTTACGTTTCAGAAAAGCGTTAACATCTTGTAATTGTGGTATGTTATCCTGTCTGTTATGAGAAATATGACATTGTACGTTGTAGTTAATAAAATTATATTAATGTTAATTGTATAAGTATATTAATTAAGCGATATCGTATGTTAAGAGAATGTTACCTATAACCACAATATTTCTCCAGCTTTGGCCAATTTTCCAGATATTCTTTGCAAGCGTGTTTCTGATAAAGCTGGTGCAATTCACGGAAAACTGTACCCCTAAACAGTAAGTAGCATTTAAAACACATACATGTTCTTAAGTTGAGAATATCATGCACTTCTAATTTGCAGAAATATATGAAATGCAACGTAAAAATGTTTAGAGAAGATTCATAAAATTGTGATTATATCTTTAACTTAATAGCCCTTCTAATTGATGAAATAAGTTTTTCTGCGATTCTGGGTTCTTTTGTACACACATTTATAAAGTATAGTAAGAATAAGGGACATATTTCATTTGCTAATTATAAATTTTCGTCAAAAAAGAATCGTTTCGTATTAAAATTAATATATAAACATTAAACATCAAATGCAATTGTTATAAACTGTAATTTATTATTATTTATTTTCCATTTTTTACATGTCCCCCTTTCTCTTTATCGTTTATCCGCTTTAATTTCGTTCCTCCAATAACGATACTCTCTTTTTATTTAATTGTCATGTATCAATTTGGTTTCTAACTTCGATTTTGAAAGAATTAATTTTATTACTTAAGAATACGAATTATACGGTTATTATTTAACACTTTCTTGACCATATGGTTCGTGAATCTTCAAGAATAGATCGTTCACTAGTGCTCGTCTTGTGTACGTATATCCGGTCGAAATTGGATTAGAGGAGTTGCTTCGAGATCGTGAGAATAAATCGAATCAGGACAATTAAGGGGTGCATTCAACGCGAGACAACCTTAGCTTGTTCACACGTCTCGAAGAAGGAAGATGGAAGGTAAACTCTCGATTCTCTATTGGCAAGGCTCAGGCTCGAAGTAGGAACTCACAGAAGTATCGAATGATCGTTTCTTCGTTGCAGATTGCCTTCGTATTTGTGGAAGCACGTACGATGATTTGTCGTAACAAGCGAAAGTTTTACAAAAAAAGAAGTTCGAAATAATGGTGTTAATCATTTTTATCGAGCATACATTCAGACAATTTCGATTTAACGACAGAAAAAGAACGCGGTAGGAATCAAAGTCATGTATTTTTCCAATGATCTACTATTTGTAAACGTTAGGTGTATTAAAGTGGGTTATATGCTGATTGATATTTAATAAATATATAAAATTTTTACTATTAAGAAATAAGAAATTCACGAACCATGTTTTGATTTCCTCTGGCGTGTATTCAATGCGAGGAATCGGTTGGCCACTGAAAAACACAGTAATTCCGTTGAAAATAGGTCAAGGATCGATCCTATAGATTTTTTTTTAGAAGAATTTTGGATATTTTTGCACGTACTATCTATAATTGTTCGCAATATCGGCGAATTGTTCGCGACGTTTGCGATATACCGGATCTTTGAAGCCCTAAAACATGAAATTTGATTCATGTTATGAACGACCTTAATGGGAACAATTGGTACGAATGAGATAAAAACGTACGGGATGGTCTGCGTCTAATTCAGATCCGTACATGAGCACCTTCTGAGCCTGATCTAGATCCGATATTTTCCGTGGGAACCAAGGCATATCTACCTCACTGAAATCTGCAATGTTTTGATTTTAAGTAGGTACTTTCTCTAATCACTTGTATCAAACAAGATAAAAATGATCATACAGATCACAGTTCGTAAGGCTTTTGTTTCTTTAAAAAACGTTCTGTGTAATGAATATTTACGTTACAACAGATGCCAAAAGGTAAAACAATAATAATCTTAATTAGTTTAACCCTTTCAGGGGCAGTGGTAGGTACGTATTCGTATCATCTTTTTTTTCCTCAGTTTTTTTTAATGTTTCCTACCTATTTTGCAAATTGTATGCACATATTAGCATTTTTTAGACTCTTAGGGATCGAATCTATGCAACTTTGATGAAAAATCACGTTATTGTGTTTATTTGTTAATTTTGAATCTAGCCCAAAATAGTTGCCATATTGGGTCTATTATGTAAATATGCCGCTGAAAGAATTAAATATCTTTTTTGGGGTTTTGATCTCGTAAAAATGTTTGCAGATATTGCTCTAACATTCAAAGTATTAATAGACAACTTATTTGACTTGGTGATCTGTGAAAATTAGTATTAGGTCGTTCGGAAAGTTCGTAGCGTTTCGAGTAGGTACATTGGCTTCGTTACCTTTTTACTGGACAAAGAAAAAATTATTTGATGCGGTGAACAACTATTATTTTATAGATATGGATTGAATGTATTTGTTGTATATGTTACTCGTCGTTTTTGTTGTTTTCTGTCAAAAAGTACTGATGAAACGTATGAACTAGCATAATGTTCATTTTCATTACGTTCTATCAATGTAAAAGAGTTAAACTACTTCAACTGGAAGATATAGTTTTATTTACCCCAATTAATTAGACTTGGTCCATCGAATAATTATTCCTTTGGATCGCTAGAATATTCTGTATCAAGAAAATTCTTCGAAAACAGAATTTATCGAGAAGCAGCTTGAAGAGTTTTTTTCCGCCAATGCAACCGAAGGTGTATACTATATAACTGGTACAGTGAAATTAATTGAAAAATGGAGCGAAATAGGAAGAAAAATAGTAATTAAAACGGTACATACTTTCCGAACCACCTGATACAAAGAGAATTATCTATTAAGAGTATCAATTGGTAATCTACTACTCTTTAGAACATTTATACTTCATTTGTAAAAATATTCAAAACATATGCTATTACAGCACTATTCATTGTTACATTTTAACATCTGACGCTATTTTTAGCGTCGTACATTAGTAGAGCAGTGATTTAGTGAAGAGGGTCATTTAAATTGAAAACGAAAGTGTGCAGAATCATATGAGATTGTTAAATTACTGAACTACATAATAAATACTGTTCAATAGTATATGTTACATTGCTTACTCACCGAAACTTTGAGCGGCGGATAGCGATGGTGCATGCGGAATACTTCCCATCTCTTCATACTGGGCCAAATTAATGGCAGCTACTTCGCGACTTAACATTCTCGTTAACTGTTCCATCCTTATTGAATCGCACTCAACATCGACAAGAATTTCAAATTCCGAGCCGCGACGTAACGATTTCCGGGACTCGATGTGAATAACATTTACACCCAGATCCTTCGCGAAATACGCGTAAAAACGTGTCCTATTAGTTTTGGTTTGTAAAATGTTCGCCGTTTCCAACATTAGAAAAAACATTTCACACGTATGACCTACTGTCTACATCACAGTAAAATTTTCATTAATGTAAGCACACGATGGTAAAGTGTTAGATAACCTTTGTAGAACTCTACGATTCTGTATAATCTTATAATAAACCAAAAATATTACGACTGTACAATCTTCTGTATAAACCAAAATGCTGTCCCGTGTAATTTATTTCCGAAATTGAAGTAGTTCTAATGTTTCTGGAGAATCAGCATTTGAAAGATACTCAAAATTGAATTTTTTGAAATATGTAGACATATTGAAATATATAGTATAAAGTAGGTAATTTGTTTTCAATATTACGTAAAAAACGTTGATGGCTATTGACAATAGAGAAAATATTTAAAAGTATTACTTTAAATAGTTTTAATGTTTGTTGCGAATCAGTGTTTGATAAGTAACTATCGTTTTTTCTTCAACATATACGTTTTAATAATTATTTGTACGGTCGAAACGGTGTTCCACACGCACTATTCTGTCAAGTATGTTCGAATATCGTACCTGAAAGACTTGAAGGGCTCGCGCCAAGCCACCGACTTGATTTTTTAACGAAAAAACGACGGAACTTTTGGTATCGTTGTTCGGTCTCCGCTCGACCATTGGGATCTGAATGAATGAAAGAACATATTTATAAAGTACCCTACAGCTTCAACCCTGCAATCGCCTGTTATCTATCGTACTATTAAGAGTTAAGTACAATTTGAAGTATATCTGATTATATGTATAATACTTAACTTCAAAACATTTGATAAAAATTAAGCAGAAAAACGGATATTATTATCACATTGAAACTATCTATCGTATCGATCGAAAGTTCATTTCTAATATATTGACAATCAGACTGGTAAGTATGTTGGATAGAGGTATACTAGAAAAATGATTATTATCGTGATGAACATTGAAAGTCTTTCAAAAATAGTAATTCTAACACGGATTGAGATTTAACCAATTAACCATGTCGAGATTATTAACAAAATACGAAAACTTTTGAGGGTCAGTGTATTGTACATCCCTTCTCCCATGATAAAGCTACAACAGTTGCAAGAAGACAGGCTATAGGCGAACTACCAGAGAATTAACATATTGGCGACCAATAAAGTTTCGCTAAAGTTGTATGTAATTGTCCATCGAACTCGAACACCAAACTAAAAATATTTTTTGTAATAAAGCCAATAATATTCTAATGTAAAAAAGTGTACCGTCATCGAGCAAAGAATAAATAAATCATGCACGTGTCTGAAAACGAGACTTCTCGTTACCGGTCACCGATAATAAATTTATAGTGAATATAGGATTTCTCGTTACCGGTCGTCAATGTGTCAAAATCAAAAAGAAAATAATTCTACACTGTCCACTTATCCCGATTGAACGTACGTCGCTCGATTTATGAATGGGACTGCCTTCCTTGATGGCCCAGTGTTCCCCACGTCTGTACAGCCACACCCCTAGAAGTCCTTTACCGGATCCACTCATGATGACCTCCGCCTTATAAAAAACTATTCTATAATTCCGTCGACCAATCGAAATTATACGGATCCCTTTAGACGGTTTAAAGATTCACATTACAACGCAAGGACGATAATCGACGGAAGGATAATTCTCGAAAGAAACTACAGCTCGAGGGTTCGATGATTCACCCCTTGAAATGTCACAAGCAACAGTGTCCCGGTACCACTGTCTTCGGCTCTTCTTAAGACCTCGGTCCCCTCCGCCGTACGCGTCCTTCTCAATGACGATCCCTACGCGATTGGTCGACGTACAGACGGTAGAACGATTCCCCATTGGTCGGATAAAACTTTCCATGGGGTTGAGAGCGGAGTGTGTTGGCTCACCCCATTTAACCGTAACTGTGCCGGTCGCAGAATGTGTATTCATTGTGACGTCACTGGAGCCCCGCGTGATTGTGGGTGGTGCGAGTCCCGACGATGGACGGGCGAGGAAGAGATCGCAAGGTCTCTTCCTGGAGGGAAGAATATATATGTATATATGTATATATATATATATATATATATTTTTTTTTTGTTAATTATATTAATATATATATGTATATATATATATTTTTTAATTATATTAATATATAGATATATATATATATATATGTATATTTCCTCTTTTACTTTTCTGTCCTCGCCTATTCCGTGTCTCAGTTGTTCGCGGAATCACGCGCGACCGGCACAACCGTGTGTAAGTGTGTATAGGTTACCGGGCCAAGTGAAATTAGTCGGCCATGGGAAGGACACGAATTTTGTTCGTTGATTCGAGGATTCTTCACGGTTCTACGCGTTCGTTCGATCGTTTCTGGAACTTATAAGATGGATACATGTAGAAATTTCTTTAATGTACATACATCAATGGAAAAGTTTTCCATCATTCGTGATTTTATGGTTTGAAATGGCATTCGGTTGAAATTAATCGAGACTTATGTAATTGTAGTTATAATTATGGTTATGATTTTAGTTAAAATAAACCACATTTTAAGTATAATAACTCACAGTTAGAATTAGTTTATAATTATTTTCTGGTATTGTCGAGTTTTGACATTGTTACGAAAATTAAGACTAAATAAATAGTAAAAATTCATTTAAACTACTGTCAAAATTCGCTTAAAAAGTTCAGAAATGGTCATTTTGACATTAATGTCAAGCAATCATCCGACGATTTATTATATTTATTATATTATATCGGATGAAAACTCTGCATAACGATCTTATAAGCTTGCAAGGCATTCAGCAGTTAAGTATTTAATACTGAGGAAAGTAATTACTTGTGCACCGTCTTAGAACTTTTTAAAATGAAACGTATAAGTGGACTGTGGATTTTATGCATTTATTGCCTAACACGATTGTCTAAAATTCGGTACAGTTAAATTTATAATAGATTATCGAGAACATTACATTTTATCGAATCTTACAAGAACCATAACACTGAGAAACCACACCCCAACTCAGCATACGTATATGTAAACACCACACTAGTGCGAATTGGGATTTTGAATTTTTAATGATTAAAAACTTGAAGAAAATAAAAGCAAATTGAACTCGTAACAAATTCTTGGGGGTACAATTTCCTCAGAAATTCAATGGTAATAATTGCAAAAGTGGGAAATAATTTTTTAATTATGAAAATCTGTTATAAAAAAACGGTAAATTTCCAAAGGAACAGACGAAATAACGTTTCGTTGGTGCAAATTCGTACTAGTCTGGTGTCTGAGGATTAATAAAGCAAACAAATTTCTATTTGTCTCTAATCTTCATAAAACTATCTACAAAAATCTATATTTGTTCAAAAATCCGCTTTCTACTTATAACACATTTTATGACCCAACCTGTATAACATCGTAAGATTCGTTGCTCAAGTGTATACATATAGTTCATTCACTATTCGAATACAATTAAATAACGTCACGGTAAGTGTTCAAACGCGTCTTACGTCAAGGAAACACGGTCTCCGATCGGAAGCACAGTCTTCTCCGGAGGATTCAGTTTATTTTTTCCAACGAGACAATCGTTCCCGCTTTGTATTTCTTTCCCCAGAACAAAGAGAGCGTTTCATAAAAGCTCGAACGGCCGAGAACGTTCCTTCGCTTCTTGGCAAAGCAGATGCAGCACATTACCAATGTCCATCACTTACCACTATCAGCTACCATCCAGTGGCTCTACCCTCGCTGAATTATACCGGGCGTTCCTGTGGCATTAAGAGAATTGAGAGTATCGTTCGATCTGCGTTGAGGATACTCCTTTTATCGTCGTGTCTGCCAGTCGGTAAATTGTTTTTGACAGTGAATGCATATATTTTACTGGGGAACAGTAAACTGCTTACAGTAATTGCATTTTATGCGAATGTCAATAAATGATTGAATTTTATTAATCGGAACAGTGTACTTTGTTACTCGAGATTTGAAAATTTTACATTTGTTTCTAGAGAAAAATACCAACTAGGATACCATATGCGTTAAATAGTAATTAAAATTAGTATCTTGAAATGGAACTAAATAATAATGTATGTACATACATACAGTATTGGAAATATTTATTGCATCATTTAAATATTAAACATGTTATTACTTATACTTTTTTTTATTATTAGTATTAGGAAAATTAATTAAAACAGATACTTATTGTAAAAATACGTACCTGACTATCGTGAATAAAGTGAATTGAATACGAATTATTTTGTTAATCATATTGCTATGAAAATTGTACGTATACATAGGTAATACGTAAATATAAGAGTGATGCAATAAATATTTTCAGTATTTTTTATCAAATTCTGTATTACATCTAAGTTGATTAAATATGCATATTACTTCAATAATATTCATTTTTATTGTCCATCGCCCTACGCTATTTTACCAAGAAATGGTAGGAAAAATATTTGAAATTTAGATTATTGCCAGCTTAGTAAAATAATGGAGGCTTACTTATTCTTGGCTTTAATAAACACAATTTATTATTGTAATATTGTGAATAAATTATAATGTTTAAGAAGAAACCAATAGATTTCTGTGAAAGAAACGTCTATAAATTAAAAGCTATGAGAGATTCGAACAAAGAGATGACCATTATATGTATGTATAAGGTCAATGTCCCTATTTCTAATCATGTTCTGCTATCTCGGAAATTGATTTTTATTATTTATTTATGCAACAATCGACAAAAGAACTTCTTAGATATAAAAGTTAAACCTCCCTTTATAATTAAATTTAAATAAAAGTAGTTTTAAAAACATTTTAACTTAATAATAGTTAATCTAATATGAAGTATAAAATGTCCCTATTTCTGCTCAGCGTAAATGGAAGTACCAAAATCAAATTTTGGCGAACAATATTAAAGATTCCGTAAGTTTCTTTTAGTAAGAACGCAGTGTCCACGTGTAACTTCACGATCGTGACGGAATCGCTTAAATCACGTTTCTTTACACCAGACAAACTTATTAAATTTATTTCTATTAAAATGCTGCCATCTATTGAACCGCGGGCTATAGTATTTTGTACGGAAATACTGAATTAATTTCAATCATTTTTTGTATAACTAATTTATTGTTTAACGTTTAAAATTTATTATTTAACGTTATAAATCGGGACGCGATTAGAAATAGGGACAGTGACCTTATGTGCGATTGATTTCCTACTTCTGCGAAGAAGTCGTATTTAATCAGTACAGGTTAGTTCGTCTTTCAGCAGTAACACGTGCCAAGATACAAGAGTAATTTAACTTAACATTGTACTAGAACGTTTTCCAACCCGTATTTCAACATCCGTCCTCTTCCATTCACTGGGGTCATCCGCGAAATCTGGTATCTGCTTCGTCAGAATGTTCCTTTGAGCTCGGAACTGGAATTTCCTAATTTGCTCCATTATACGGAAAGAAGTTCAAACGTCGAGGAGAAGTGTAATAAGAATATTAAGTACAAATGTTCGCACAAAAATGAATAAATGGTAGTAGATCGAACAGACCTTGTGTAAAGATATGTGCATACAAAAGCGTGGAAGGTATTAGATTCAAGTTATAACATGACAAGTAATACACACTTTATTAACGCACATTTAATAGTTAGTATTTATATAGTGGTAGTCCTTTATTTTTCATGTAAACATGTTCCTCCTATGCTTGAATTCGTTTAGCGTGAAGATAAATAAGTTAGCTCGAACAAAAAAAGGAATATAAAATTTCGATGACATTTCGATTTCTAACGAACATTTTCTGGTGTTCAGAAAAATTTATAAACGTATACGAATATTTTTTCGATGAATCTAATTTGTCCCTACCGTTTCGACTTAGTCTTTAGCATTTTGTGGCAACGTGCATTCTGAATATAGGTTTGTGGAAAGGTTAGTGGGCCATTCGCAGACACAATCCATGTTTTCATGCATATTTTAATCTGTTTTAAGTTTCTGTTGCGGAGAAACAAGTCAATGTTAATTTTTCCTTTTTTACATAATAACGAATCACATTTGCCATGAAGTTCACAGATTCGATTTGAGAAAATAGGATCTTAATCTTTATGTATGGAATGAAGTAATATATTATCTTGCTAATAACCCTGGTCAACAAAATTTAACTTTTTGTTTGTTTCCGAACATCCAGTTAATGATTCTTATAAATTCTTCTGTGCTGAATACGAATCCGTAAACAGTTTTTTGCCATCACCCTCAGTTTACGAGAAATTTGATTTTGAAAAAAAATGCAAATTTTCAAGTTTGAACATTTCCTGTGTTCAAACATTAATAGCTATTCAGTTGATTGTTACGTCAAATTATTCTGTAAACTCTTCCGAATAAAACGGTATACATTGTTATCGCATTATCAACATTTGAACATGTTTAAACAACGATCAAAGGGAAAAGGACACGCCAACTATTTGTACAATACACATTTCCAACTATTTGTACAATATTGTAATACCATCATCTAATGAAGTAAGTTAGAGAAAAGTAAAATATATAGCATAAAGCTTCTATTTTATTTTCATCT